AAGATTACTATGAGACTGCAAAGTTCGTTGTGTGTTTATACCTACTTTCGGTAGTAGGTGCTGGGTTTTATAGTTTTCTTGGTTCTCTCGTATTTGTCGTCGTAGGGGTAGTAGAATTTTCCAGATATCCGTCTGGGACAGGTGTTGAATCATTCCTATTGCATGTGTTTCCAGTTGATTCGATAAACAAAGCTTCTGTTATCAATCTCTCCCTCCACCATGTTAGCTGTATTAGATTTTGAAACTGTCATCTTATCCCATCCAGCCTATTGTGTGTAATTGCATGTAGTGAGTACAATAGCTCAACTATTCCCTAGATTTCTTATCTTATTTGGGTCAAGCAATCTAGAGAATAGTTCAGCTATAGCACTCACCACATGCAATTACACACAACCACACAATAGGCTGGATGGGATAAGATGACAGTTTCAAAATCTAATACAGCTAACATGGTGGAGGGAGAGATTGATAACAGAAGCTTTGTTTATCGAATCAACTGGAAACACATGCAATAGGAATGATTCAACACCTGTCCCAGACGGATATCTGGAAAATTCTACTACCCCTACGACGACAAATACAAGAGAACCAAGAAAACTATAAAACCCAGCACCTACTACCGAAAGTAGGTATAAACACACAACGAACTTTGCAGTCTCATAGTAATCTTGCAACCTCATTACGCGATGTAAATAATTCAACTTTTCGGACAGTTTTTCACATAAAGCCGCGACACGCTCGGCAACTTTTTCTTCTGGTAAAGTGATGTTCAATTCAAACCAATACTTGAATGGGTCTTTCGATGAATTTGATTTGAATGGAAGCGTAATAGCATTATAAAGCTTCCAAGCCGTAGGGCAGCACATTAACGAAATTCCGGCAGAAGCGATAAAAGAAATCAGGGACATACATGACAGACTCTTTTATCGCTTACGCCGGAATTTCCCTGCACTACGGCTTGGAAGCTTTATAATGCTATTACGCTTCCATTCAAATCAAATTCATCGAAAGACCCATTCAAGTATTGGTTTGAATTGAACATCACTTTACCAGAAGAAAAAGTTGCCGAGCGTGTCACGGCTTTATGTGAAAAACTGTCCGAAAAGTTGAATTATTTACATCGCGTAATGAGGTTGCAAGATTACTATGAGACTGCAAAGTTCGTTGTGTGTTTATACCTACTTTCGGTAGTAGGTGCTGGGTTTTATAGTTTTCTTGGTTCTCTCGTATTTGTCGTCGTAGGGGTAGTAGAATTTTCCAGATATCCGTCTGGGACAGGTGTTGAATCATTCCTATTGCATGTGTTTCCAGTTGATTCGATAAACAAAGCTTCTGTTATCAATCTCTCCCTCCACCATGTTAGCTGTATTAGATTTTGAAACTGTCATCTTATCCCATCCAGCCTATTGTGTGTAATTGCATGTAGTGAGTACAATAGCTCAACTATTCCCTAGATTTCTTATCTTATTTGGGTCAAGCAATCTAGAGAATAGTTCAGCTATAGCACTCACCACATGCAATTACACACAACCACACAATAGGCTGGATGGGATAAGATGACAGTTTCAAAATCTAATACAGCTAACATGGTGGAGGGAGAGATTGATAACAGAAGCTTTGTTTATCGAATCAACTGGAAACACATGCAATAGGAATGATTCAACACCTGTCCCAGACGGATATCTGGAAAATTCTACTACCCCTACGACGACAAATACGAGAGAACCAAGAAAACTATAAAACCCAGCACCTACTACCGAAAGTAGGTATAAACACACAACGAACTTTGCAGTCTCATAGTAATCTTGCAACCTCATTACGCGATGTAAATAATTCAACTTTTCGGACAGTTTTTCACATAAAGCCGCGACACGCTCGGCAACTTTTTCTTCTGGTAAAGTGATGTTCAATTCAAACCAATACTTGAATGGGTCTTTCGATGAATTTGATTTGAATGGAAGCGTAATAGCATTATAAAGCTTCCAAGCCGTAGGGCAGCACATTAACGAAATTCCGGCAGAAGCGATAAAAGAAATCAGGGACATACATGACAGACTCTTTTATCGCTTACGCCGGAATTTCCCTGCACTACGGCTTGGAAGCTTTATAATGCTATTACGCTTCCATTCAAATCAAATTCATCGAAAGACCCATTCAAGTATTGGTTTGAATTGAACATCACTTTACCAGAAGAAAAAGTTGCCGAGCGTGTCGCGGCTTTATGTGAAAAATTGTCCGAAAAGTTGAATTATTTACATCGCGTAATGAGGTTGCAAGATTACTATGAGACTGCAAAGTTCGTTGTGTGTTTATACCTACTTTCGGTAGTAGGTGCTGGGTTTTATAGTTTTCTTGGTTCTCTCGTATTTGTCGTCGTAGGGGTAGTAGAATTTTCCAGATATCCGTCTGGGACAGGTGTTGAATCATTCCTATTGCATGTGTTTCCAGTTGATTCGATAAACAAAGCTTCTGTTATCAATCTCTCCCTCCACCATGTTAGCTGTATTAGATTTTGAAACTGTCATCTTATCCCATCCAGCCTATTGTGTGGTTGTGTGTAATTGCATGTAGTGAGTACAATAGCTCAACTATTCCTTAGGTTTCTTATCTTATTCAGTGCAACTAATGTATATTTTGCTAGGTTCTTATGTTCGTTTTGTCTGACTGACAGTGTTCTTCTACTTTCACCTATGTTTTCCACCTGACAATCATTTCAGGCGGGGTATTAGATAAGCTAAATTGTTTTATTTTAAGCCTCCATAGGATTGATCGTTTAACCGACAATGCATGTTTCTAAATGAGTTTGTGGGTTTGAATTCCAGCCAGTTTCATTCCTGCTTTGTTAAGAATTCTGCGTAAGTTGGTTTCTTAGGTTGCTTCCTTGTATGGAGTTACTACTGATAATTTAGATTCCTTATTGTTGGTGTTGTCATTGTGTAATACACATCAAATAAACAAACTAATATGGAATTACTACCACAGTGCCCAAGTTGTACACATATATTAAGCATATTATACTTTAGACTGTCTGCAGCTGAGGGAAATGAAGTCTCAAAATAAAAATGACAAACTTTCTATAATATGAATCTTGTTCTTATTATTCTTCCTTTTCGACAACAATAGAATAACGAGCACCGATCACTACCATTGCCAACGGGAGAAATTTGAAAGAGTTTAGTTCCTTCACCCATCTAGGAAGCATCATTTCAACTGCAGGCAGTCGGATGGCACGGATGAAGATGTCAAAGCCAGCAAGACAGAATCGGAAAGGCAAGATACAACTTCATCAACCTGAAACCAGTCTGGAAATCTGCTGCACTAACTCAACCAGCATCAAGAACAAGATTCGGATTCTGTTCAACAGAAATGTTAAAACAGTCAATTACTTCTTCTAAATGGGTCAGAAACTTGGGGTGTACGTCACGAAAAGCATTTCCAACAGCCAAGTGTGGACTTTTATCAATCAACAGCTGCCTTTCCTGGCTTTATATACTGAGAAGACCACAGGGCGAGAAAGGATATAAGCAAGAAGGAACTCTGCAGTGCGACTGACCAACCAACATCCTAACACGGAACAGATATACCGAAGGAAAAAGATATGGATTGGACATACACCGTGATAAGATCGTTGAGTGACATTTCATATGCCAGGTCATTACCTAGGTAGAACCCTAACACACTTCAGCGACTAGGGGATTGACTTGCTACCAGGGAATAATCTCGTCGACTTAGAATATACAGACGATATAGTCCTTCTAGGCGAGGACGCTGACAAAATGCAGAGTCTACTGAAAACCTTGAGCAACAATCTTCGTATGTTCGGCATGCGATTCGCCCCTGTAAAATGTAAGATGATTCTGCAGGACTGGACTTCACCGACCCCTAGATTAGAAATAGGAAGTGAAGTGGTAGAGCACGTTGACCGCTTCACTTACTTGGGAAGTACCATCAGCCCCAACGGGTTGATCTCCGACGAAATCTCAGCACGAATACAGAGGGCTAGTTTCGCATATGCCAGTTTACACCGTCTCTGGCGTAGACGCGATATCCGACTATCGACCAAAGGGCGTGTGTACTGCTCATCAGTCCGCTCCGTCCTCCTTTATGGCTCTGAGATCTGGCCATTGAGAGCAGAAGACATAAAAAGATTAGCTGTCTTCGACCATAGGTGTCTGCGTTCTATCTCCCGTGTGAAGTGGTATAATAAGGTCAGCAATATTGAGATTAGGCGTCGGTTGAGTGCTAGGTAAGGAGGGGTAATCAATCGACGAGATTGTGAAATTGCATCGACTGAGATGGTTAGGACATGTGTTACCTATGCCTAGTCATCGCCTTCCTCGACAACAGGCAATGTTAACTGACATAGGGTCAGGCTGGAAAAGAGCTAGCGGCGGTAAAACCGAAACATGGTACCAGTCAATGAAATCCACAACAGTTAGTCTAAGCCACGTAGGAAGATGTAGACTTCCTGGTTGGGGTTCTCAGGACGGTAAAAACCAATGGTTGGAAACAATTGGTGACATGGCTCAAAATCGTTTTCGGTGGCGCAAATGCATCCACTCCTTGTGACTTATGATTTCCAATAAAACTGATTTGTTCTTCGTTATTACTATTCCTTTTTCTCACACCTCTGTTTACTGTCTTTATTATGCATTTCTCCTACTTCATTCTCTTGCTTTGTGTGCTACATGGAGTGTGGCGACTTGAACTGCCGCACATATGTGCAAAGTTCTATGTCGAAAACCAACCGACCGACCGACCAAGTGGAACCTGAATAAGATACGAGTTGATCGTGAGTGCAAGGGTGATGTATATATGTGGAGGAGATGAGAGACTATGGGCAATCGTGGGGTCAGCTAAACAGGACCGCTAAAAATAGGACAAAGTGAAGATGTAATGTTGAAGTCTTGCGCTCCATTTGGAGCCTAAAGGAATAATAATTCCTTTCATACAAAATCATCAAAGCAACATGGATTGTATGAAACAGTTTTTAAAGTTACCGATTTTAAAGAATTCAGAATTGGATGATCACGACATTTTTTAACAAAAAATTGAAGTTTAATGTATTCATTAGCAACACGATCCATACGTTGTCCAGTATCTTCATGTAAACTTTGGAAAAAAGATAAGAAGAAAATGGTTTTTAGCATTTTCTTTAATTAGACCAATAGAAAGTTAAAAGTTAATTACACAGAACACAGGCACTATGAAAGCTATGCATATTGTGTGAGAGCTGAAGATACTCTACTCTCTACCCAATTGTTCAAAGCGAAATAGGTAGAGACAGTGGTGGTTGAACGTAGAAAATGCTAGCTGAAAAACTCTAACCAAACAACATTCACCTTTTCAGACAACTAATACCGACAGTCAGAGAGAAGTCTCATAAATGTTTTGACCCGTATTAACCTGACAGTTTTGAAGTGAAACAACAAGACGGCAATTTGGAATGTATAACATATCTCTGACAATCATATTAAAGACAGTGTACTATTATGAGAAAAAGATCAACCTATGTACAAATGGATCAAATAAAAATGCACCCAATACTATTATTATTATTGTTCCCTTGGGTTCCTAGTGGAACATAAGGCTTCAACTGCACGTCTCTACTTGCTTCTGTCTTCTGCTGTACTTTTCACCTGCATCCATGTTAGTCCATACTGTTTCAACTGCTCTTCACACGATCTCCTCCATGTCACGCTTGGACGTCCCACTCGCCGCCTCGCTTTCGGGTTTAACTCGAGCAATGGCCTGACGCTTGATGTCACCCAGCGGCCTCCTCAGTGAGTGTCCAATCCATCTCCACTTTCTCCTGCATATTTGGCGGGCGATTGGTTCTTGTTTTGTTTCTTCCCATAGTTTTTTTTCTTGTTGGTGATTCTTTCCGGCCATCTAATCTTCAGTATGGAGCGAAGACAGTTGTTGATAAAGGTCTGCAACACCCTGTGGAAATATTCTTTGTGATCCGCCAAGTTTCTGATCCGCATAGAAGAACTGACTGACTTGACATTTGTATTGAAAATCCGAATTTTGTTGTTGATGCTGAGTCACGAAGATTTCCAGATTGCACCCAATACTAAGACGCATTAATTGCAAGGTCTATTATTGAATCACATATGTAATATTAGAATTCCTCGAGGAGAATGTATTTCCTTATAATTGATTTCTGTTAAACAATACAAGACTTATGTTTGAGACATTTATGGCATTGGAGTTGAAACCAAATCAAATGTTGAATATCTTGGACTGTGTGCATTTCCTTAGATCACCTTATCTGATCTTTCCACATCATGTTAGTTCCCAGGAAGATATTTCGTTTGACGTTCTATCTAAGTAACGAAGTTACGAGGATCTGGTACCATTCCGTCTCTACTATTACCATTCGTCAATTCTTGTATTCTGCCTATCCCTCTTTACTGATCTCCCCCGCCCCCACCTTAATCTTTCCTGGGCTACTTAAGAAAGACTTTATTATACTGTGTAGGGCACTAAAAGTCGTCAGTAGGGCGAGTGAGGTGTTGTTAAACCACCTAATTAATACTATTGTAGATAGACACTTGGATTCCTGCAAGAAATTAGCAAATATTATCCTGTCAGACTCTGAACATCCTCTCCATACACAACTCTCTCCTTGCTGCATCTCATCAGGTAGGGCAACTAGAAGCAACTATAGAAGAATGTAAGCTCGGACAACTAAGTATAAAAGCTCTACAATTCCTTGTATTTGGCAGGCACACATTTTATGTGATGAGAAAAGTGTGTGAGACAGGAGACACTACCAATTTACTGAAGAACTCGAAGTAAACGGCCCCATTTTTCTTTTGTTCTCATTTTATATTCACTTCTTATTAAACAATATTATTAGAGTAAATGCCCTATTTTAATTATTGCCAATGTAATGAGAAAATTAGATGCACTACTGTACCACTACATGCTGAAAATTCCATATTTGTACTAAAAGTACTGTTTCCGAATAAAGCTATCGTTAATATTATTATTATGAAATGAAAATATTGATTAACGAGAGGAAGATCCAACGGGACAACTATTGGTATCACAAATGGAAAATAAGCTATCGTTTATTAACATGACAGCTGAGCAGAACTCATGGTGATTGCAGTGGATGGATATATAGTAGCTCAGTTGAGGAGAGATTCAGACTACTGGTAATTTAGTGGTCAGTGGTTCATAATCTTGTCGTCACCTAGGTGTCTTCAGTTCCACAGAAGCAAGTGAACTGGTATGTGTATGATGATTTGTTCAAATGCGACAGTTCGATAACAGAAGACACCTGGTGGGTTCAGGACAGTCAGCTCTCCTCCATTTTGGAAAGTCCTATACAACATTCAATGAAATCTATGCGAAGGGGGTGAGGTGAAGATATCGATGAAGCACTAGTGATCCGAAAATTCAAGCGGTAACGCTATGTATCCCAAAGTAGTAGTACGTCTAACCGTTGTCTTTACCATAGCCATTATAAAGAGTCAATTATGCAAAATACGTTTCTTATCCGAACTACCTGTTTGATTTTCGTATATATATATATATATATATATATATATATGCACATGAACGTATAAACTAGCTGATGACTTTCTCAAAAAGAAAATTATCCCAGTGAGTTGCCTCTTCAGTAGAATCCACTGAAGATACACTTGACGAAGAAGGAAGAGAGTTGATAATAATTATCCAGACAAGTTCATCAGGAGATATAAAGTGGTCAGTGGAAGACCAAGACCCACTCTACAACTCGCCCCTAAGAAAGACGTGTACATCAAGCTACCCTGTATGGTGCATCACAGCAGCTTGACAACTAGACAAAGAATGAACGCTACTGTCAAAAAGACTTTTCATGGAGCTAATATCATAATAATTGAGAATGTGAAGCCAATATATCTAAGCCCTTCGAACATGCGAAAAATGACGTCACACCTCATTGTATTTACCAATTTGAATGTACGTGTGGACACACATACATAGAGGGAGGACTCATCGCTCTCTGCAAGTAAGGGTTGGCTTCAGAGCACATTCCTAAATGGCTCCAGAAACAAATGGAACTTTCAGAACCCATTAATGGTGAGAATAGGAGACCTAGCTCCTCTGTTGAGAAACATTATAGAGAGAGGACATAAAATTAACGTTAACACATCTTTTAAATCTATCTATAAAACGTGTTTGGGGCGTATCCTAAAGTTTGTGGAAGCCCTAGCTGGCAATTAGAAAGTTTAAACCACCTTTATGCGATCAAAGCAACAATTCGTCATCACATTAAACCTTCCTTGGTAAATTTTGTTTTGATACCATAGCAGATGTACTATTACCTCTGTTATTTGGTTTAGTGGTCTTCATTGTTACTTTGACCTTGAATATGTCCTTTTAACTTGACCTAAGTGGTCTATTTTCTCACCTCTTAACTCTTTATTAATTTTATATATATTCCTATGACAAGTCCGTGTGTGATCAGATTGTTCGAAATGTGTTGCGCAAATACATTGCAACACGATTCAGACAAATTACGTCTTCTTATTGCTTTATCTAAATTCATAAAGGGAACTAATTGTTTTAAAAAACTCTATATATAATGGATAGAAATAAAGGCCAAGTTAAACTTTAAGCACCACTAACTACCAATGGAATGCGACAGCATCATTGACCTTGAATGCTCCAATGAAATCTATCCACGTGAGTTGAAGCTTCCATTTCCACTTGATCCGAGTCAAATGCCTGTTCTAAGGCATTTATATTAAAAATTTGGTGGAGGCCAATCTCGCAGCATGACTTAGATTAAAAAAAAGAAAGGATTTGTCCATGTGGAGGTGTGCTGAGAATAAAAAGCTGCAGCAGATCGGTTGATGGAGATGTGCATCGTCGTGCAATTTGTTTGAGACGAGTTAGTGTCAGGCAAGACAAGCTGATGATTTTAATATTTCACAGAAACATTTTTTGCCAGGTCCCATCTGTTCTTGGGAGGAGAAGGTGTTGTCGTACATGTAGATGAAACTGTCTTACTAAATAAATAAAATATACAACCATGGTCGAGAACGAGAGAATAATGTTTGGCTGATTGGTTTATATGATACCTCTCTACAGAAACAATTCGTCCAGAGGATAGGAGATAGAAAGTCAAGTACTTCATTATCTATTATTACTCGATTGGTGAAACAAGGATCTATAATACACAAAGATGAGTGGGAAGGTTATAACTCCTTGTCATCCCTTGGATATATTCAGTAAAGAGTGAACCATTCTAATGTTTTTGTGTATCCCATTACAGGGACACACACCAATTCTATCGGAGGCTTTTGGAGAAGGTTAAAGAACAGGATTAGAGACATTAATGGATCTCAAAAGGATATCATTTATAGTGATTTAGATGAATATATATATATTACATATATAGGGTGTGGCGTATCTTTTCAATTGATATTCCTATGCTAAACTGGGAGATGTTTTATCACATTTGAGAGAAAGGTATCCTATGAAACACTTTTTTACAGTTTTATATGCATCTTTTTCACAAATATATGCATTCCGTAAACAAAAATGTCTCCTTCAATGTGATTGGTACGTTTAAGGTCACTGGTAGCTGATTGGTAGTTAGTGGTGCTTAAAGTTTACCTTTGCCGAAATATGAATCACATACATATATAACGTATAAAACTTGGGCACTGTGATAGAGAGTATAACTTTATTATAGATAAGATTTTATTTTGATTGATAAATCACACAGTGTTGTGTTATACAGTAATATTAACTGATGACGTTTTCAGCACAAATTATTGTGAGTGACTTGATGCGATTATGAGCAGCAATAAATTTATGTTTGAGACGTCATCAGTTAATATTACTGTATAACAAACACTATGTGATTTATCAAAATAAAATCTTATCGAGGGTCCTACATTCTATTCTTGACTGACTATAAGACATTGTACTCCAGATAAAAAAAAAACAAGGCATTCGATATTATCTATTTTAAAACAAGATAAATTTTGAGCAAACATTTTATTTTCGGTAACTTCTTCAGGCTCTACACAGTTATAAGTCTGCGAATATTAGAATACACGAATAGATTAGGCAGTTAGTAAAGCAGAGTATATCAGAAAAAGACTACATCACTGTGTGTGCTCCTGCACAGCCAGTTATTTATAAAGTTGTATACTCAGAAGAATTTATCTTTACACACTCATGAATATATGTTGTATAGTTTGGCTTGGACAAAAAAAGAGTAACCACAATCAATAAAAAGTGTCATTTTATCTCACTTAGTTGATAGTGAACACCTCACCAAAATAGGTGAGTCAGTCATTTACAGTTTTGTGTATCGAGTGGCAATACAATTTGACTAAAGGTACGCGATTACGTCTCCTAGGTGTATAGAAGAGCTGAAGATATAAAGGGATTTTGAAACACAATTTAAACTAGCAAATCCATATTTTCAGTAAATTCCCATTAGGCTAACAGGGATTAACAAGAATAAACCTGATTTCTTCTTTTTAACGAAAAACAATACATTCATTCTCTTTGTTTACCCTAGTTTACTATAAGGTCATCAGGGATGTAGCGATCTAATATTTGCATGTCTCATTATGCTGTTCTTATTCTTTTCCACACAGTTTATTTCACACCAATTATTATTATTAATTGTCAACCTTTATGATTTACACTAAGCTTATCATGACTTTAGTTCTCTATTCCACCTCTCTGTTTTATAATCATTATAATTATAATCATTATATGCCAGTCATTGAACTTACATTCAGTATGTCTACTACTGTTTGTTTGTAATTTGCGGTATTCATTATTTCTTACCCCCCTCCCCGCAATGAAACTTATATTCTGGATTTAAGCATAAGTTGGCATCAGTTAGAGGACCATTGGAAAACAACTGGGAGTACTGCACAGGTGTTTCATCCCAGCCTAGGACTCTTCAGAAGTACGCACCTACTGAATTTGGAACCCCATGAACTTTTGTTTACAAGGCGAGCTACCTCGTAGACCATTAAACCATTGGGACCCGATCCAATGGCCAGCCAGTCCATGAATCCCGACTTCTGGCTCGACCACTAGCGAATGTCATCGGCGAGTATTTGTCCTCACACCCGACAGGCTGTACCCCCCACTGATCATTACTTCCCACTAGAACCCACTAAGAAAACTACCTACTTGAATAGAGCCAGGCACTAGTGAGCATCAGATTGATATTCAAGTATTGGTTTGTAGGGATTCCATCATGAGTTGACATCGGTTAGAGGACCGTTGGGAAACCTGCAGGGAGTACTGAACAGCTGTTTCATCAGCCTAGTTCGGGACTCTTCATCAGTACACACCCATCACCAGGGTTTGTACCCAGGACCTTCTGGTTACAAGGCTAGCTCGTTGACTATAAATACATTAGTATGTCACTCAATTGTCTATTCACATCTTACCTTATTTTCTTAAGGGCTGTACATTTAATATATACATTCCATCTTAACACTAAAGGACCATTATTTTGTCTCATACTTGTACTCCAATACAATAATTTCTGATATAATTTTGATTTACCCTTGTTGGCTGGCTATTTTTATTTGTGTATTCTGATATTCATAGAGCTATCGAAAACAAATTTCCGCTCAAAATTATTAATCTTGTTCTGATTACAATATATGGGGATATTTAAATTACTGGTATCTATTTTAGTGGGATATATTCTTTATATCATGTTACACTGAATCTATTTCGTCAACTATCATAACCAAGAAGTTTGTACATTACTATAGGATGCTGATTAAGAGTAGGCGCTAACATCACATACATATTAGTGCTATCACCCTTAAGAACTGTTTTAACCTAGACAGCTGATAATAATAATAATTTTTGCTTTATTCCGAAAAACAGTACTAATGATACAGCAAGGAATTTTTAGCATTCAATACAATATTGCATCTAATTTACTCAAAACGACAAAAAAAATAAACATTACATAATAATAATAATAATAATAAAACGTTGTTATAGCAGCTATGTAGCAATTACAGTATGCGATAAGGAGAAAAATATGCATAAAGTACAAAATTGTAGTAATAATAGTAATAACAACTAAAATAAAAATAGCAAAGTTATCATTAAACGATAGAAAGGGTGACACCATAGAATTACAGAAAGATGAATAATGAAAGGGTCGATTCATTTTGCTAATTACATAGTAACTTATATGTTTCACGTCTAACAGTGTCTTCATCACATAAAATACGGACTAATTATGGTATTGTAGAATTTTTGTACTTAGTGGTGCGAGCATATAACTTCTTATATTGACTTCTCGTCCTACCTGATGAGATGCAAGGGGATAGTTGTGAATAAAGGGGGAGCAGGATGTCTGACAGTACGGCCTTTGCCCATTGTGTAAAGGATTTTATAAGTCTCTCGACTATAATATTGGCGAGCTCACGCAGTAGAATACCACAAGCCTTACTCACAGCATTTAATACCCTTCGTAATATGATGCAGTCTTTTTTGAGAAGCCCAGGAAAGATTAGTGGAGAGCAATAGAGTACAATTAGTAAAATATAGGAGTTTACAAACTTCAGAAGTAAACGTTGGTTGATACCTGATTGTCTTAACTTTTTAATGTAGAAGGTAAGATGAAACATTTTCTTAGAGACTGATAAGATGTGGGATGACCATGAAAGGTCAGAGGAAAGAACTAATCCAAGGTATTTAATGCTTGACTTGGTTTCAATTTCAGTGCCATCTAAGCTACAGGCATCATGGGAACTAACTAGTTCATGTATGTCACGTCGATGCTTGAAAGTAAAGTTAACTGCCTGACATTTGGAAGGATTTAACATAAGACCATTTGACTTAGACCACTTGCTGATGTCCAACAGAAAGCTATTAAGTTTGGAGCAGTCAGACTCGGAAGTGATAGGCAGTGATACAGTCAGATCATCAGCATATTTGACGAAGTTAGTTTCGTTTAAATGAGGCAGGTCGTGTAGGAAGAAAGAAAAAAGAAAAGGAGAGAGGACGGTACCTTGAGGAACACCGGCTTTTGTAAGCGAGGCAGAAGATTTGTCATTATATACAGTATACTGCATTCTATCAGAAAAATAAGAATGCAAACAACTCTTAGCCCTGGATCCTGTTTGCGTCAGCGAAAGCTTATTTAATAAAAGGCCCTTAGGTACAGAGTCAAAAGCAGATGTGTAGTCTAGGAAAGCACCACGAACGTATTTGGCACCTTTGTCTAAACAAGAAACAACATTATGATAAAAGACAACCGCAGCATCCATCTATCATGTTTATATGCAAATTGTTTAGGATCATTAAAAGGTTTCAAAGAAGGTTCACGATGAAGTAAAAGTAATTTTTCCATCAATTTTAAAAAAAGGAGAAGTAATTGCAATAGGCCTAAATTTAATATCAGTACCAGAAGATGGTTTTGGTATGGGGATAATTTTATTGTTTTTTTCCATGCAAAAGGTAGAACATTACTGGAAAAGGAAGCATTAAAAATTATTCTGGTCCACATATTCACAGCCAGGTCTACAACCTACTTGATCATCCGATAAGTGTGTTTACAGACTACTCTTAGGAGTTGAATAATTAGGGATCATGAGATCATAGAAATTATGCTGATAAAAGAGTGGTGATCATAAAGGCCAGTTAAATTCACGTTGGTACTTGACAGCAGATAGATTAAAAGCGCATTCGGTCTCTCCTACTGAGTGGTACATTGTACTGAGCAATATTGAGGCTAGGAGTAGCGTTAGGGGTAAAGAGGGATAATCCACTTGATAAGATTATGAAGTTGCATGGATTGAGATGGGTAGGACACGCGTTGAGCATGTCAAGTCATTAACCCTCTCAACAACCGGTAAGAAAACCTCTGGGATGATACTCATAGCACATATCCAAGTTACCGAAGCCTGTGTTCCAAGACTACAGCACTCAATGAAATATGAAGTCCACCGTGACCAATATACACGATGCCAGACCTCAGAATTACTTATATGATGGTGCCACCGGGTGCAGCAATTCTACAGAGGCAGTGGTGATCGAATACGCGGAGTCACCGAACATCCTCAGCTCAGAGAGACCAGGTTCCACAGGTGGAGAGCGAGACTGAGCTCACCGAACCATTGTAAACCCGACCTTTGGCGTCGCGACTGCGCCAGAGTTGGTACAAGTTAGTGTATTCAACCTTAGCTTTCACTATATGGTTAGGAATTTCATATGTCACACCTCCACCAGCAATCATAAAACTACCTAGATACATGAACTTATCGACGACTTCAAGTGGTTCACCTAGAAGAGTGCATACAGACACAGACTCCCCTCAATTTTGTAATAGTACTTTGCACTTAGCGCGAACCACATACCATACATAAAGACACTGATTATCAACTGATTATGTGCGATTCGAGAGTACAGGCTTGCTATCACACAGTAAGCTGATATCATCAGCAGACTGGAGGTCAAAAATTCTTTCCCCAGGAAGCAAATCTGCTCCGTAAACACCACGTACATGCATCCTTTAGGAAATCGTCGATAAATCAAGTTAAAGGAGAAATAGAGAGATTGAGGAATCTCCTGTCTAATCCCATTGTTGGTTGGGAACAGTGGTGATCATTCTAGGGTTATGGATTATATCTTGTTTGTATAATAGCAACAGATGATCAAAACATAACTTACGAACAATCGGCATAGAATTCAGCTGGCCATTCATCTATTGATTCATTATTATTTGCATCCATTGATACTTTTTCATTATCATTCTGTTTATTCGGTAATTGATTGTTATTATTATCATTACTATTATTAGCTGGTTTTTTATTAGCTATTTGTTGATTTGGTTGAGTTAACCAACGCTCCAATCGTGATACGCACGTATCTAATGTAAATAAACTATTTGCAAAATCCTACAAGAATTCATGAAAAAGATATAACGAAATTAGTTTTTTTATTAACTAAATTTTTTTTGGTTACAGGATTTCATCATGTGAGCTGACATCAGTTAGAGAACCACTGGAAAACCTGGGAGTACTGGACAGATGTTTCGCCCTAGTTTGGGACTCTTCAGCAGTGCGCACCCACCAGCCCAGTGAATATCAATGAGATGCTCACTGGCAACTGGCCATATTCAGGTAGGTGGTTACCTAGGGTTCTAGTAGGAAGTCGTGACCAGTAGGGTGCAGCAGGTCGGGAGTGAGGACAAATACTAGCCGAAGACATTGCCTAGCGGTTGCGCTAGGTTGTGAATTGACAGAAGTTAGAATTCATGGGCCATTGGGTCGGGTTCCAGTGGCTCAACGGTCTACGAGCTAGCTCGCCTTGTAACCAGAAGGTCCTGGGTTCGAACCGTAACGGTGGGTGCGTACTGTGAAGAGTCCCAAACTAGGCTGACGAAACAGCTGTGCAGTACTCCCGGGTTTTCCAATGGTTCTCTGACCAATGTCAGCTCATGATGAAATCCTGTAACCAATCAAACAAATCCCTACAAACCAATACTTAAATTTATTTTGTTTATTATGGCTTGATTTCACACAGTATTTTGGTACAAGTAAAGAGTTTCCAGCATGTGATATCGGTAGCCCACATTTAGCCGGCGGATCATTGATATCAGGTATGCGCCTGCGAGGGATGGATCCTCGGACCATGTGCATGGACGGCGAGCGTCCTAACAGCTGTGCCACCGATCCTATTTGAGATATGATTTAATCGTAGGAAATGAAATGCTTAGTTCTACTCCCATTTGAAGTGTACAATGTATATATATATATATATATATATATATATATATATATATATATAATGATTATTCATGAATAATATAACATACCTTCTCATTTTTGATTTGTTGAAGGGATTTCAATTTGGTGGATAATTCTTCATCAACAGATTCTAATTGTTTTAGAACAGACTGTAGAAGAGAACAATAATTGAAAAGAGTAAATCAGCATAAACAATAAGACTCGGATTTTCAACACTAAAATGTCAAATCCGTCAGTTCTTCTATATGGTTCACAGATTTGGTCAGCGTGTGTCACAAAAAGTATTTCGAACAGGCTACATTGTAGAGTTTTGTCAACAGCTGCCTTCCCCCCCCCTCCATTACCTAGCTCCAAAATACAACAGTCAGTTTCGAAAGACATCAGGTTTTACTAAAAACCAATATCAGTGTTAATGGAATACAGCGTACATAAAGCCAGCAGCTAACTTTGTACTAGTCGGTTATATTGACCAGATATATACTCACCAGTCAGTAGTAACTCTACACTTCCCTAGATGGCTCAAACCAGCAGCTGTCAAAGATTTCATGGGTTGGTCTGATCATCCTCGACTCATTCACCTCTCTGATCCTCTTTTTTAGGTAACTCTAGAAACTACCGATGGAATTTGGGTGAGTCCCAAAAATCATCCCCCTATGATTGAGCACGTTGTGAATACAGCTCAGGGATAACAGTTAGCTACACGTTTTCTCCCTTCCAATGAGCAGTATTTAAATACTAGATTTGGATGAAATTTGCTACGTAATTCGTGTACAACACACCCATAATTGCACCTGTATACTACGATGCCTCACCTGACTGTTTTCTCAAGGTCATTTATCCATTCATTAGGTAATTTCGTTTTAGGCTGCTATACTTTAGAATCACTAATGTTTTTAAAACAAACTAGTTTTGTTTGGAGATTAGATCGATAGATAGTAAAGAATGTAAGCTATTTTAAGAATTTTAAAATAACAATCATAAAAATAATTCAGTAATTCTTTTACTTCATCATCAACTGACATTATTTTGTGAAAACTAGGCCCCAAAAAACATACAAACAACGTCACTGAATCACTGAACACACCGTTTCTCTCTAGACTTAAATTTAGAAGTAATTACGTTTAATATAATAATTAGATATAATATTAGATGGTTGGAGGCCATCGGTCACAGGAAGCCTTGCTCGACCTAGGTTTCGTGCTAGTTGGTACTCACCAGTCAATAAGTTGTATCTGCAAACTTGAAGGAACTCATGTCCCTTCTGAGATTCGAATCCGCGTCAACCAGTGAGTACTGCAATCAGAGACGTTACCACTGAGCTATTCGGCCTCGCAATTGACCTCCTGTAAGACTGCAGTGGGTAGTTTATTTGGACGATTGCCGATTGCCTCCAACTATCTAATATCATCATATAAATGTGCACCATGATGACGAGCAACCTAGAATGGTGGCCACATTGCAAACCTGACTGATAGAATTCAGTCTGTACCAAAGAAAGGACTAGACACGTCACACTAGTAACTAGTGTCCAATCAAATTAGGCATAATGTTTGTTCGATATTGGGAATGAGGCAAGGCATGAGTGTTATAAGGGGTACCCCTCTTTACCTGGATATCATCGTAGTTTATTTCTGACAAATCAACAGATGCCATAAGAACCGAATAAATACACAATAAAAAAAAAGAATAAAATAGCATATCGTTAACATATGTGGAAAAAAAATAACGACTGCTTGGCATCTTTAGAGGTAATTGAAACTAGCCCACAGAATAAGTCAATAAGACCATCTCTCTGTCTACAGAAAGCTCACTTAGACAGGAAAGTATTGAAATAATCATTTAGTTTCTATCCAATCCGGTCGGTCGGTTTTCGACATAGAAATTTGCACATATGTGCAGTTCTATCCAATCCAGTATAGAAAAGACATATTTAGACATATTCAATATATTTTCAAGTATTGGTTTTGTAGGGATTTAGTTTGATTGGATGGAGGATTTCATCATGAGCTGACATCAGCTAGAGAACCACTGGAAAATCTGGGGAGCTGTTTCGTCCTAGTTTGCGACTCTTCAGCAGTACTCACCCACCGCCACGGTCCGAACCAAGGATCTTCTGGTTACAAGGTGACCTCGTAGACCATTCAATATATATATATATATATATATAGGAGATACCATTGAAGAAGAAATACAAAACTCGCTAAGGAAGGGAGGATGAGCGTGTGGGGTCAGCAACCTCACTAAGCAAAAAAAACAACCTCAGTTACTCAGACCTTAAATAGCCCAATCTTGAAGCCTTATGTCGCACTCGGAACACACAAACGAATGGAAGTGATTCTTTGAGTGCCTGAAACAGAAATACAGAGTTAGTGTTGCGTGACCGAAGAGCACAGGGGACAACTGCTTCTGGCCGGTCGTCACACACGCACGCACGGCCTGTGTGAACTGGTTTCTTGGATTGGTTCCGAATTAGTAAACTTACCGCCGGTTACGGACCACCATAGGGTAGGAGGTCGGGATGTACAATTTTTTTGGGTCAACCTTTTCGAACCCCCTCTCTCCAAAGTGTTACACACGTGTCCCTGTTCCCCAGCAGTACGACTTCGCCAAGAGACCCCAAGCATAGTGTAAAAACAAAATTCTTGCACTATGCCAGTAACTGCTTTTAGTCTAATCGCTATCCTAACAACCTTCCTGGCATAGTAGAACCTGTAGGAACAATCGTTCCAATCAGTGTAGCTTGTTGGGTCATTGCGATATGCTAGCCCAGCGACCACCACGTCAAGGTAGCAGCTATCGGTCGGGACACAAAGGAATAAATAATTAGTATATAAAAAAAGAAGAAATACACTCTAAGCTACACATCGATATCCAAAGAGTGATCTATTCTTCAGTTAATTTATTATGAAATATGATGGTGGTAGATTACAGACATATATATATATATATATATATATATATATATATATATATATATAAGCGCATAGAAATAATTGACTTACTGATATATATGATTGTAGTTGTTTCAATGGTTTAGCTATTGTATTGATTGATTTGTCTAATCCAACAAGATTTGTCGATAAACTTACAAAATCAGCATAATCTTGATTGATTAATTCAATTAAACTAGACTTAAGAATATTTGAATATTGTAAAAGATCATCACGTAATCTTTCTAGTGATATACCACGACAATGTTGTTCTAATATAAAATCATCGGAATTAAAATCATCCTTGAGTTGAGATGAGATTAGAAAAAAAAAGTAATAATAAAAATCAATGAAAATTAGAAAAAAAACATACAACTAAATAAACGTAAGTAAATATAAAGGTATTTAGAAATAACAATAATAATAATAATTGTAACAAGATAATATTGATTACCACATTGGATGTGGTAAACGTTTAGAAGAATTTAATCGTATTTCTAAAGATGATTGTGCACATTATTTCCGTCAGTGGTTCAATAGTAGAATGTTCGTCAACCATACACGCCGGAAGTCTGGGTTCGACTCCTGACTGACACACTACTAAACCTCGCTGTCAGTAGTCAGCTCGGCATAAGAGAAAGAGGGCTGAGCAATAGACTAGGAAGCTCACCACGTTAAAAATACTATAGGTACTGATTAACAGTGGTGAAATCTAGGATGCACATTTCGTCCTATTTGGGACTCGTCGGCTGGTGGGTGTACCTGAGGTCTCCAGTGAGCAATAGTGAGGCTCTGACCTAGTACGCTTACGCCGGCTGCTCAAGAGGTGGCCCTCGTAACCAAAATGAATAACATTCTGGCGTTGGAAATGAGGGTTACTGGGTTCGAGCCTCAATGGGAACACCTCCACTCATCACTGAGGGTTTCAGGACACATCCATCCAGTTGACAAGTCCAAAGTACGACGAAGCGTGCATCCTGGACTCAATCAGTGTTAGTCCTCAGACATCGTCGAAGCGTCCGTGTACTAGGAGCCAAATACGTCAACGAAGGCAGAACATTTCCGTCCAATCAATCATTGCACACTTCTTCATTGTTTTCAGTGGTCTTTAAAGCTAACGTCACCATGAAAATGTTGTGTCATCAGAGTACATTTATAACATGGTATGTAACATTGATAATACGAAATATTAGGGTGTAAGTGATATATTTCTTTTTGACACTAAGTATATATGGCCCACCAGCAGATGGTGGGTAGCGAGTATCCAAGTGGTTGTGCCACAGGAGGATACCCAGTAAGCAGTTATATATGGTGTTGTAAAAGAGACTAGGATGAGTGTCTTCCGTTTTCCTGTAAACGAAATATATAATTACACAGTCTATGGTTGTATTGTTATGTCTATTTACTGTCATATGCACTAATATTTAAACATTCCACCAATAAGTGAGTGAGATCATTTCAAAACTAATTCTCCCCACAGTGAGAGATTTAGACATCTAGGTAGAGCTATTATTATACTTTACACAACATGAGTGACTTTTAGTGTAAAAATGCTTTGTTAACTAATTGAGATGGACTCTATTTTCTCCGATTTTAAAAATTCTAATAATGGACTATGTAACTGTGAATACTTTTAATCGGATGGTCTTTGCTATTCACATACTTAACTAGGCATGGTTGTACTCATTTCCATTCTCAGGAAATCATTATTATTGCATAATGCTTTAATATCGAGAGTCATGTGCAATACACTAAGAGTGAGAAGCATCATTTTTAACAAGTTATGAGACATATTCACCCAATTAGATAGACGGCTCCCGAAATAAATTAAGCATCAGTTTTCTCAGCCAGCTGATCGATAAGCTTGTGAACCCAGCCATCGCATCATCATCATCGGGTGGGTAGAGAGTAATGGGGGTGGTAGCGGTACGACCTCTCGAAGGTAAATGCAGCTAACAACCTTGCAGAACGACAAGATCATCATTGGAAATCTATCAGTGTGGGCTTACTCATCCAACCATCCGTCAGCAGTTGCAAAACCCTTCTTTTAGCGTCTCTTAACAATCCGACATACATTATACACAGTAAAAGCTTTACTGAACAAAAAGCGATATTTCATCTCTATGCAAAATAATATTCGTTATCAGAAGTTTCAGATGTCAGATAAAATATTCAAGCCTAAACTAGTGAAAAATGGCATATGTAAATCATCACACATTCATTCAGATAATGATGAGATCATTAATCTGTTACAGACAATGGGTTCCAACGGAATATTATTCTCACAGTAAGAATCCTTGGATTTGTTGGTGCTAACGTCTGAATACTATTCCCCTAGTTCAATACTGCCGATATCACACGCTCAGTGATTGCTCAAATAATATAAACTGTATAGATATAAAGATCTGTTCGATCACTTGAAAATATACCTTGGCTTCCGTGCCTTGTCTTCTGCTGTTACAATTCCACGAAGACTACTCAAAATGGTTACGAGATTTTCTTCTGATAATTGATAGTGGTTATGTAGGAAATATGTGACGGTGGCACAGCGGCAGAATGCTCACCAACCACACCTCATGTGGTCCGGTCCCCGACCGACGCATTGCTTTACCTGACTAAGCCAGTAATAAGATTGGTAAAGAGGGAAGATTGGGCATGAGGTTAACAACCGCATCCCGTAAAAATAAATACCGAAACTTCAAGCCTCTAGCTTGAAGCCTTATGTTCCGCTGGGAACTTATAAGAATAAAACAAAAAAAAATTTTTTTAATGTAAGAAGTACTAATGACTAATGGTCATCCGACCTAACGAAACAAGTAATTTACTTACGAATTAAAGGTGATTATCGGGTAGAAGTGGTAATTTAAAGTCATGTATACCTGGGCTCGGAAAGGCAATACACACCGTCATCATCATTCTGAAATCAGTTTGGAAATCTTATACACTCACTATAAACAACAGAATTTGGATTTTTAACACCAATGGTAAGTCAGACAGTCAGTCAGTTCTTCTATATAGGTCAAAAACTTGGCGCGTCACTAAATGCATTTCCAACAGTTTGCAGACTTATCAACAGCTGCCTTCTCTGGCCCTATACTGAAGATCGGACAGCAGAAAAGATTAGCAACAAGAAACTCTGGGAACGAAATAATCAAGAACTCACTACTCAACAAATAGGAAGAACCGGATATGCTTCGGAAACATCTTTAGGAGACCGTTGAGTGACATCACAGGCCAAGCAGATTCTCGAGTGGAAGCTAAATGGGAAACGTGTTGGACGTTGCTTCACTGGTGACATGGAGAACGTGTGAAACGGCGGAAATAAAAGCTTATAGATGACCGTGTCTGTCTGACTAAATCTCAGAACAGAAGTGTATAAAGGATTTCACGGACGACTGACTCCAGGTTTTGGCTAGACCACTTGTAATCCTTTTACAGATTAAGTCTATGCCAGCTAACATTGCCCCTTATGAGGAAGGCGATGGCTTAGAATGTGCAACAAGTGTGTCCTACCCAACCCCAATCGATTCACCTTCACAACCTCGTCGACTGACTTCCCTTGCTTACACAACACTCGACACACCTTACCTCAATATTTTTCACCCTATTATTAACCACCTAACACAGGAGATAGAACCCAGACACCTATAATCAAAGACAGCTAGTCTTTTCTACATCTTTCACTCTCAGTAACCATATTTCTCATGAAGGAGGGTAGAGCAAACTGGTGTGTAGTAAACACATGGTTTGAACGATAACCGGATATCACGTCTACGCCACAGATGACGTACGTTTACCAAGCACCAAGCTATGAACTACTTGAAAGCTTAGAGTGAATTAGGCAGAAAAAAAATTGAACCAAAACGATCTCCAGAATTGAGGTTAAAAGTGTTGAAGTTGATGTCATCGGAAAGAACATATTCCACCATATTGGAAACCAGAATGTAATTGATCTGAATAGAAATCCAGTATCATCAGTTGCAAAGCATTTATTAATGTCTGGTCACAAAATCAATATTAATGACTACTTCACAATTATTTCAAGTGATTCTAATTCAGCGTTGTTAAAGGCGATAGAAGCACTTTAGGAGTTAATCACAAGCATCCCACACAATGTGTGCACAGAAAACAATAGACTTCAACCTATGCCTACCAAAGGCTAACTAAGCAATAAAATATGATTGGTTATTGGTATGCGCTTTAGTTTTATACAGCTGAGTAATTGTCAAACATTTTATTGTGAACCCTGTTGCTTTGATCAATGCAATGCAATTTCTCGCCACCCACTTCACAGCCAAACATAGCCAAAGTACCTCTCAGTCGACGCAATCGAGTGCCGCTTCCAGGTCAAAAAATATGGCGGAAGTATGCCTACGTTCCTTTCCAGAATCTGTCGAAGGATGAAGATATGATCGATACACCCCTTGTTCTTCCCAAGCACCAGTTAGTCTACGCATTATTATTGAGCCCAGAATTTTAGATACCACATCAATGAAGCTAATCCCTCTGTGATTATCACAGAAATACTTGTCTCCCTTCTTGTAAATCGGCAGAGTCAATGACTTACCCCAGCCTGACGAGACTAACTTTGATTCCCAGACACCGACTAACACCTTAGTTAACGCAGGCAGTAAACTGTATCCACTGTCCTTGAACACCTCTGGAGTCATTTCTTTTACAACATAGTTATTTATTTTATTCCTTTGGCGTTCCGAGTGTGGGACATAGAGCTTCAAGTGAAATCTTTGAATTTTTAGTAGCAGTAGTGTTCACTTTTTTAAGGGATGACGTTGCTAGCCTCCCACCGAACCTTCCCTCTTCACAGGGCTTACTGCTATATTGGCTAAGAGAGGCAAAGCAGTGTGTCACAACAAAGGATCGAAACCCGTACCAGGTGGGTACTTGGCGAGTGTTCTACCGCTGAACTGCCAACGCACTTCATAGTATTATACAATATATATGTATATATAGCAAATCATAGAGGTAAATTTTGAAAAATAAAACAGGCGCTTACATTAAGAAATAATTCACGATCGAAACAGAATGTCAGACCAGTTGGTGCAACGTCAAATGTATCCTCTAACAATAGTTTGCGTAAATTGCAATCCGCTTTTTTCACTAGTGAGATATCCCGTTCACTACTACTATTATTATTAACTTGGCTGTCTTCTTCAAGAACTGGCATTGTTGTAGTATCATATACTAAAAGATGAAAAAGCTCAAGTTGTTATTATATTTTAAAAGCTTGTGTATTTCTCAATGAATGTAAAGAGAAAACAAAACGATATTGTTGATCCGACTGACGTTTCGCTATTTAATGCAGCTAGTAATATTAAACCAGAATTTACAAACTATCAACTTACAGTAGATATAGTGGAGAAGATTTGTAGCTCAGGTGGATGATTTTGGCGTAGTTGCGTTCTCTTAGCTAAATGGTTTTCCTTGCCTTAATACTACAACTGGGCAACATCTTCTTTCAGCGTATACTTCAACCAAATCAAAGCAACCCCACCCAATGAAAACACAAAGAAAATCATCTTGTCATATACAAAGAACATCTCAGAAATCACAACAAGACTATTCAAACCATTTTGACAATGATGTCGCATACAAACCAACAAAATCACTTCACTCGACTCTATGGGTTAACCAAAAGACTCAGCAGCGAAAGATGATAAAAACCAACATAACATTTACAAAACAAATTGTAGCGACTAGGAAAAACACTAAATTAGTGAAAAGGGGACGGACGCCCTATTTGTCTTCAAACCCGTGAAGGTAAACTCTGGTTGTCAAAAGACACGATAACCACTCCCTCATATCACACTGTATACAGACAACCCACAGAGATCAATTCGATTAGGACAACGTTCAAATATCGGATACACGAAACACTAAAGCCGCCATAGAATTTTTGGAAGCCTGATATTCAAGTGAATTCATCAACAATCAATAGACACATTGACATAGACAAGATTTACCAATCCATAAGAAGGAAATAGCATAAACAAAAGTAAAAATTCAAGTCACGGAAACAATCAATACCAATAAAAAGTAGACTAGAGGGTGAGAAAACACAAAAACAACCAATTACGTTCAAGGTTACAGGGGGAGATGATCAATACACTCGTGGAGAAATTTAAAAGCTAACTTCAAATAAAAGTAAGCGCCGAGGGTGTTGCCTAGTAGTAAGGCAATGAAAGCTTCTTAAGTAAACCAACTACCATCTAACTCAAACAACACAACTACACGAAAATCTCAGCTTATATAAGCAGTGACTTAATTGATTATCTTTCTTCGACATGAAGCGATTTTCACGTTGGTAAGTTGGTCAATTGATAAAGATAACAAAACAATGAGTTGGTGGACTGTTGAATTTGATAGGTGGATTCAGTTTACTTCAGAAGTCGAATCAGACTTCCTACCTGGGCTACCTTTTCTAGACTGCCTAGTTAAACGGAAAGAAAATGGATATTTGAATACACATATTTTCATTCAGGAAAAAACAGATTCCAATAAATATTTAGACTTCGAATCATCACACTTCATCAGTCCAAAGGCATCAATTTGTCTCAATTCTTCTTAACGACCATACTCTTTGATAACAGATGAGAAGGAAATATCAAATATTACTGAAATTCTCAAGAAAAATAACTGTCCAAGCAAACTTCACTATCGAAATCAACACCAACATTAAGCAAGGTTGAAAACGTATTCCGAAGACATGGACTATCGCAATTGTCATATTCTTTATAAATCAGAAACGTCAGACAATATTAGAAGAGTACTCAATAGATACAACATCAGAAACACTAAAAAACAGCCTTCTCCATGCAATAAAAGACTGAATTTTGAAGGATCCACAATCTGATCGTGTTTATAAAATAAAATGTTTAGAACGTGATGCGATAAACACCGGACAAATCTCGCGAGAAATCGAGATAAGAAATGAACACCTGAGAGCCTGTCTTATTCAACCACCACCAAGAAATCCAGTTGGACTAGAAAAGTTTGAAAAATCATCAACCATAGGTCTACACACATACACACTAGAGAATCAGGTCACAAAATTAATTTAAACAATACTGAAATCATCTAGAGAAATTTCAGGAATCACAAAGACCATCTTATATCCTCAGAAGCACTTCATACTAATTGCAGTTCAAATCACCTGAGTAAGAATGATGGACTAAGACACAACTCCACCTGGTTCCAGCACCCATATCTATATAACTTCATACTCTTATCCAATCCAACAATCCATACATACAGCGTTGACATAATTTGGTGGATGGTGACTAGAGCAGTGGTGAAATCCAGGATGCGTATTTCTCCCTCTATTTGGGACTCGTCCGCTGGATGCACTTGCACTCCCCAGTGGGTGGGTGGGTAGTGGTGTTCCCACCGACAGTCGAACCCCTCCCTCCTGGATTCCAGTGCTAGTTACCATCATCCGCCTAATTACTTCAAGTTAATCTTCAGACATCGTTGAAGGATCCGCACAAAGAGGAGCTGACATATCAAAAGAGGCTAAACATTTCAATTCAATCAATCAGCAGCGGGAGGGTCAAAATTAAATATTAAAAAATAAACAAACTACACAAGGTTTTGTTGTCTTTATCAATTGACAACATAGAAATAATTAATTAATTAAGTCACTGTATATGTAAGCTGAGATTTTATAAATTCTGGTTTTATGTTTCTACTTTAATAAAGCTTTTATAGCATTAAATAGCGAAACGCCAGTAAAATCAACAATATCATTTTTACTTTTCATTAATTAGGAAATATAAAATCTTTTTTATGATAAGGAATATCATATATACGCAATGCTCAATTTTCTTTTCAAATCATTAAAAGTGAAGTTGATTTATACACATATATACAAATTATCATTATATATAACCTAATCGACTAAATGAATAACTTCTAAAGTCAAATAACAATATTTAATCCAACTTGGACTTTGTCGTTGATTGATTCAACCGAAGTATGTTTGATATCTATCTATCTATCTATCAATATATCAACTCCTTGTGAGGATACTTCGATCATGTCTGGGGATTTAACTCGAAGTAACACAGAGGTTGAACACTTCGGTCCAATCCAATCAACGGTAAGCTTCAAATTGTGAATCAAAAATAATAACCTGATACGTGTTGCACAGGAAAGAGGTGGATCATCTTGTGGATAGATAACGCTTTGGTGTTTGAAACAACGATGAGTACTGGATTCCAGCCTCAGTAGGAACACCACCACCACCACCAGTCACTCATTCACTGGGGAATGCAGGTACATTCAACTGGAGACGAATCCTAAACAGGGCAAAATGCGCGCATCCTGGAATTTCACTACTGTTATATAATCACCACTCCCTATCAAATTACTTCGAATAACAATAGCCCTGAACTAATTACACACAGAAACACACACACAACACACAGACAGGCATACAGATGAACGAATATTAGCACAATCAAATACATAATGTTAAATAATGCGTTTATTTGCACAAATGAATACAACGCTAGTACTCATCAATATATATATATCAAGTGAATAAATGAGTGCTAAGATATTTTGGTCAGAAGGTGCATTCATCATTTATTATTTCATAAAGAGTTTTAAATACATACATACATCAATAGATAGATAAAATAACCTGAATGTCAATAATTAGGTTGAAAATCAAACGTTATACATAGATGGATAGATAGATAAGTTTGCGGATGATGACGATGATAGAGATAGTTGACCCTTACAGCTTCTTTTCGTCTTCTTCTCATCATTATTACCATAGGTGTGTTGTATGTGTGTGTGAGTGCAACAGAGAGACAGAAAAAAAGAGGAGTAGTAATCTCGGTACATTAGAGTTTTGTTTCACATATTATTACTCTTTATTTATTATTTGTCTGTCTCTATGATTATATGAATTAAAACTGACATAGACCGACACATTTCACATAGTTTAGCATGTATGTATGTATAAGAGAAGCATCAATGCAATAATGCGAACTGGTGGACGGAGGAGAAGAGGAAGGAAGAGGGATGATAGTGTGCACTGTACAGGATTGATAGCTACATATATGTATGTATGTATGTATGCGTGTGTGTGTGTGTGCGTGAAAAATTCCAATAAATAATACGACAGTGATGAGAACACAGATAAAAACTAAAAAAAACATACACATACATAAAGAGATAGAGGAAGGATAAAATAGTAATTATGATACAAAAAAAGGTATAAAAACAAAAATCAAAGAAATTACAGTTACCTACATACACAAACTGGACCACACAGCACAATGATTAAACACACACACAAGTTGGATTGAGGGCGGGGAGAGAAGGGAAAGGGCGAGACACACTCAGAGAGAGAGAGCCACCACAAATGAAAATTAATCAATTATGAACACAGATTAAAAAAGCTCACACAATAAATATTTTGTAATATCTATCTTTGTGGAACACAGAAACTTCTCTACGAAGATGTTGATTTACGGTGGACGAAGGGATGGCTAGGGGTGAATGGTGTATAATCAAACGTTTATCATCAAATGGAACAATAACAATAATAATGATGGTGATAATAATAATAATAATAGGAAATATTAAGCAGCTGCCTATACAAACACACACATTATACATATATGTAATATAGTATAAAATATAAACAACACTAAGAGTAGGGAAAATCAAAACAATAACAACAATTATTATTATTATTACGATTCGAAATGCTTTTTGCTTCTTCTGGCTGACTAAAAAACAAGTGTGTGTGTAGTGATAATGACGATGATGATGCAAGTTTGTGGAAATAATGAGAGTAAAACACTAAAAACACAAATAAAAGTACGGCATTTTAAAATAAATAATAACTGGTGTGTCAATAGTGTGGTGTAGTAGGCATATGCGTGTACATGACGACATAATTATCAAATTTCCAAAAGGAGAGAGAGAGAGAGAAAAGAAAACAAATGTACATGTAAGATGAATAAATAAATAAATAAATACGAAATAATAAAATTATTATGTACAACACAAAATAAAAGATAGCATCAGTATGTATATATATATGTATGTGTGTGTATGTGTGTAAGTGAGTAGTCAATGTTGAATCATCGTTTTCTACGACATTGACGTTTATGCTCTTTTTGCCAATGTTCTTGTTGACATTGTGTACTACAATAAGATGTATTCCAACAACAATGATATATAGCTTCCATATAACAATTACGACACCATTGACGACGTTTTGTCTGAATAATTACTTCAGCAAATCGACTTTCAGCAGCTTCTAGTGTTTCACGAGCAAGTTTACGTTCATGTTCAATAGCTTCACGTGCACTTGCTTGAGCTTGTTCAAGTGCAGAATGTAGTGCAGCAGCTTTCTCCTCTTTAAATTGATTTGTTAGCTTCTCTTCAAGTTCTTTTAGTGCTTTTTTAGTTTCATTAGCTGCTGATAAACGTTCAGCTTCACGTTCTTTACATTGTGTACAAGGTTGTTGAGAGGAGGTCGGCATCTCCATACTTGCTGGCGTCTAAATAAATAAATAAGGATAGGGGAATTTAAGAATAAAAACTTATGCAACATACCATACCATTAAAATCCATTATGATAAAGATTTTTTGTATATCCTAATGAATAAAAAAAACAAAACGATACTTTCGTTGTTTTTACTGACGTTTCGTTATTTAGTGCTGCTGCTAATACCTTTATCAAAGTGTTAATAAGCCAGAATTTACAAAATCTCAGCTTATATATAACAACTTAATGATGATACTTTTGTAGTGCTACAGTGAGATCTACACAGTTCATTCTTGGAAAAACTAAACAATCCATCTCCCACCATTCAGTTTACTTCAGAAGCAGAATCAGACGTTGGTGAACTACTATTTCTAGACTGCCTAGTTAAGTGGAGGGAAAACGGACGTTTTAGTATATCTATATTCAGGAAGAAAACCCACTCCAATAAATATTTAGACTTCGGATCACCACACCCCATCAGAGCAAAGACATCAGTTGTTTTAAGTTTTCTTAGACTAGCACACTCTCTGATGTTAACGGATGAGGAAGAAGAAGAAATATCAAACATTACTGAAACTCTCAAGCAAAATAACTACCTAAAGAACTTTATCAACAAAATCAACAGTGACATCAAGTATGGTCGAAAACGTATTCCGAAAACATGGACCTCAACAGTTGTCATTCCATATTGAGTGGAGACGTCAGACGATATAAGAAGAGTATTCAATGAGCACAACATCAGAGTTTTTTTCGAAACATTAGACACACTGCAAAGCAAACTTGTCCATATAAAAGTCCGAATCCTTAAAGATTCTCTGTCCAATTGTGTCTATAAAATAAAATGCTTGGAATATGATGCGACACACATCAGACAAACATCGCGAGAAATCAAAATCAGAAGAAATGAATGCCGTAGAGTATCGGTTCGACCACCGAGAAACGCAGTTGAACTAGAAAAGCTTAAAAAATCATCATACTCTATAGAATCAGGCCACAAAATTCATTTTGACAATATTGAAATAATCCAGAAAAATTTCAGAAATCAGAGAATGTTTAATATCAGAAGCATTTCATATCAAGTGGAATCCAAATTGTCTGAATAAAAATGATGGACTAAAACAGAATTTGACCTGGTTATAACACCTCTCCCCCCCCCATGAAATGACAAAATCAATACGAATGTGATAAAAAATTTCATTGCCTTTATAATCTTATACACTTATTAAATCCTGCAATTTACACCTCGATTTTTATCTTTACCAACTGGCCAACTTGACAACGCAAAAATGACCCCATGCTGAGGAACGATGATTAAGTTGTTATATATAATTCCATATTAGCTTATTTATCAGATGTATCATACAGTGAAACAGTATTATTTGCTGCATGACGTTTCGAACAAAATTTACTATTGTTCATAATCATATCAATTATAATTAGACAAATCTCCTATTTGTCGTCGTAGGGGTAGTAGCGTTTTCTAGATATCCGTCTGGGACAGGTGTTGAATCATTCCTATTACACGTGTTTGCAATTGATTCGATAAACAAAGCTTCTGTTATCAATCTCTCCCTGCACCCTGCTACAACATTAGATTTTGAAACTGTCATCTTATCCCATCCAGCCTATGGTATGGTTGTGTGTAATTGCATGTAGTGAGTACAATAGCTCAACTATTCCATAGATTTCTTATCTTATTCAGGTCAAGTAATGTAGATTTTGCTAGGATTTTATGTTCGGTTAGTCTGACCGCCTGTTCTACTACTTTCACCTATGTATTTTACCTGACAATCATTGCAGACAGGGTATTAGATAAACTAATCTAGGGTCAACTAATCTAGATTTTGCTAGTCTGACAATAATTATTTTTCGAAACGTCATCCAGTAAATAATACTGTTTCACTGTGTAATACATATAATAAATAAACTAATATGGAATTACTCACTTACACAGTGCCCAAGTTTTACACAAATATTAATGTTATATACAAGCTGAGATTTTATAAATTCTGGTTTAATATCACTACTTTGATAAATTTATTAGCACTAAATTGTGAAATGTCAATAAAAACAATATCGTTTTGTTTTTTATTCATTGGGATATACAAAACACTTCTCTATAATGAATATCATATACCCAATGCCCAAATTTTTTCAGCCTGTTGAAAGTCAACTTGGTTGGGACATACATACCACAAAATCTCCCCAATAACAAATTTGCTAAATAAAAAGGCGGTAATATAAATTATTACCTACTAAAGAAACAAAGTAGAAAAAGAAAACACATTCATAATTAAATTAATAAATCCTCCAGAGAGATACAAAAACACAGACACCAATGAAGAGACGTTTCTTTGTGAAGATTTCATTTTCACAAATAAACAATATAGACAGTAACAAGCACATTTAATGGGCGTATTACAATTAGACAGGGATTGGATATATTGAAATGCAATAATATTGGTGTAGATGATTGTGTATGAAACAAAAATTCACATATCTTATTTCCGAAATAACTATAAATTACAAACAAAATGTTTGTACAGTGTACAGAATTCTCCGCGTAATTCACTGCATACCATATTTTACTCATTCCTCAAGGATATCCAAGTAAAACAGCAGTCTATGGCATATTATGTAGAGTAATGCTGTTAGATCTGAAGCATAGACTAATCCCCTTTGTAATATTTTGTCTTCATCTCTGCCAAATGTGCATCGACAGTAGTTTAGAAAAGCCGATTGAAAATGTGCCTGAGTACATTTTACGACTCAAGGACATTACATGAGTGGTTAAGACGATAAGAATTAGAGAAAATATGATGCATCGTATTGGGTGGACATTCAGGTAGGTAGCTGCTCAGGCATTCAAATAGACAGTCTGCCATTACCTTAACGTAGAAATTCGCACAAAAGTGCATCAATTCATTCAAGACGTACACTAAGGTGAAGAAAATATAGCAAGGAAACTATAATGAACGGAACTACATATAAGAGAACGAATAATCACACACCGGGCAATGAGAACCTAATGGATTTGAGAGTTTATAAAGAGCAAATGCCTCTAAGCCATTGAGCATAATTTCGAGCCATATATCACCACTAGTTTCCAGCGATTAATTTCAAGCATCTTGAAGATTCCAACCAGACAGTTTATACCTTCTTATTTGGCTCAAACCAATAGTCAGACACTTTACGGACTGAGATTCCAAAGTTTGATTTGATCACTCCTACCTTTCTTTTCCAACATAGATCAATGGGGGGGGGAAATCAATGGCTTGGCACGAGGAATACGTTTTCTAATCATCTTAATCGATTTACCTTCACAAAAGCATCGAGTTGACCTTCTCGCGTTACCTAATGCATGTCAAAATCGTCATCTTTTCTCTGAATGTACTTAGTGCATTTTAAGAAAATTAGCTGTATCACCTATATGTTCGTGTCCGTTAGACTTTGTGGTGACCTTTCTTTATTAAATCATACTTCTAATCAATTTGCGATTTATAATCATCAAACCAACACATTATCACTCTTCAAAATTTTTACTGTGTCAAATTTTGACACACACACACACACTGACATACTTCTCACTAACTACAGTAATAAATTCATAAGTAAATATGATTGTAAAGCCGGATTCACAAATGTTTGTTTTCCACATGAAATATCATAATCTGAAACAAAAGCCTTTATGAAACATGTCAAGAGATATAAATCTTCAGTATTAAAAACGTGTAGAATATCAACAATATTTAAAACCTTTGATAGGTTAATGATACCTGCATGTGGACTAATTTCACTGATGATAACAAATTTATGTTTTGACTGCACCTGTTAAATATACATGTAGCTTGTAAAAGTAATAAATATCCTGTTGAAAAAAGGTTACAACACTAAACTGCAAAGTATTCAAAACCTCGAACACCATAAAAAGACATAAGTATAAAACATGGGCACTGTGGTAGAGTATCACTCCATTATAGATAAGATTTTATTTTGATAAGTCACACAGTGTTACACAGTAATATTAACTGATGACGTTTCGAGTACAAACTATTGCTCATAATCATATCAAGCTACTCACAACAACCATAAAAAGACTCAATGTAGCATCACTTAGCATAATGACCAGTACACTGCATATACGCCCTTAGAAGGCTTCAATTGTTACTTGTACCAGACGGCTATACTGATTATTATTATTATTATTTAGCTACTAATTCACGTGAAACACCAGATTCTAAAAGAGGCTAGGTGTAGATGAAGTGCATTCAACCCTACTGTATCCATCAATGTCTGGTCAACATCATTGCCGTATCATACAATAACCTGACTAATAGATGCGACATCTTGAAGTGGTGGTCGAGTTTGCAGCACAGCCATGGTCCATAAAGCTACACACAAGAATTTGGGACGAATATTCTTGCGAGAGGCACTATACAAGAAAAGTCGTTTAGAAAGCGCGGTTGGACTTGAAGCAAGTTACCATCATAGTGTACGTCGTTTCAACTCTGGGGAAAGGAAGAGGGTAGAAAAGGTCTACCCCGAAAACTGTGCAACCTGATTTAACTTGCAGTCGTCCATAAATAACGGGTAAAGCCTTTATACATACGGATACAACTTTAAATGCTTTAGGAAATTCTCTCTAAGCTCTGTCCTTTTTGTTTCCGATATTCTAAGAAATCAACTACCCTCACACTTCCATTAACGGACAAAGCCTCCCTGTTCATCACTCACCTTTCAATTTATCACAACATAATACAGGTGTAAACGGTTTAATGAAAGTAAATGAAACTGCACATGGTTTTTGATTTGTTTCTTTTGTTTTTTACTTTATGAAACAGAATCAAATTCTAAGGGGTACTACCAACTTATCAACGTTGCAAGTAGTGATAAGTACGATCTACGCTTCTATTTTCATCGACACTGTTTTGAATACTTATTTTATCCCTTTGGGTTTCCAAGAGGGTATAAGGCTTCAAGATTTTGAGCTACGAAATATCCCTCTTTTCCGGAATAACTATGCAAGAGTTGACCGAGAATCGAACCCCCTCCCTACACCAGTGAACTACCAACGCCTAACCGGGAAGTACTAAACAGCTGTTTCGTCCCAGTTTGGAACTTGTTTAGCAGCACGCACTCACGACCCCACTAGGAATTGAACCCAGGCAAAGCTCAGCTCATCGACCATTCTCAAAGCCACTTGGACCATTTACACTTAACAAGTTATATAATATTTATCCACATTTTGAACATTTAAACTACTCAAAGGATAATAATGCATGAAGGATTGATAATCAATGTCGCACAAGAACTAAATGCATGAGGTAGCAAAACTTATTCAAAATGTCAGGGACATGGAAATGTACTAATCGCGAACTTTTTTAAAAATGAAGTTTAATCACGCTGGGACACACAAAATGCCATTAAAACATACCAGAATATGTTGCTCATTCGGTGGATAGGTTATGAAAACAGTTCCCTAACCTATTTATGCATGAAAATAGGGTTATAAGATAAACTCGGATTCTTTCAAAAGCGCATTAATTAAAATAGCTCACCTGAATGCCTTTATGAACTTGTTTTCTAGGAGGGGATGATAAAGAAACTTCAGGACTTTTAACAGAAGACTGACGCTGACTTGTTTCACCTGGACTATCACTTACTCCTCCAACAGAATCTCTGTTTAAAGCTGCGGCAGTTGCTGCAGCAGCAGCACGTTTATTCGGTGGCAGATGGGAACGTGGTAAGGTTGACATACCTGGACCACCGACAATATTATTATTACTTGAGCTATTATTATTTGTTGAGGCACCTGGTGATACAAAATTTGAAGCCATATTAGAATTTGCTGAATTATTTGGGTGAACTGAACCACTCATTCTATTGGCTGATGATAGACCTGAATTTGTTGAAGAGTTCATTGAGACCATTGAATCATTGCATGGTGAAAAAAGATTTTGACCAGTATGAGAGAATAAATTTCCAGAAGTAGACAAGTTATTATTTCGATCGTTAACAGCATTTGAACTACTATTGGATCCGGATACATTTAATGGTGGAGCAAATGGTGGTCGACGTAACATTGTACTACTTGCACCAGAAGTTCTATCTCTATGACTTGAACCACTACGAGTTGGACTACGGAATCTACGATCATCAATATCATCTTCATCATCCATTTTGATAATATGACGTTGTCGTCCACCTTCATCATTATCATCCATATCTGAAGAAGAGGCTGAAGAACATGAACTATAATTACTAGAATGGGATGAGCGTCGTTTCGTAGGTGTTCTTTTTGTTGGTGATATTTTGTGAACAGAATCATTAACTCCAGGTTTGCGTGTAGGCGAAATTGGATTAGTACCTGGTGTATGATAACTAGTTGAAGAGTGATGAGAATGCCATCGATGATTGTTTGAATGTCTTAAATTTTGAGTATCATTTCCAATTGGTGAATCACAACGGTCAGTAAGTTCATCATCTTCATCTCGTACACCACTAAAATTATTATCCATATGTTTAGAATACTTTTTAGAACGTCTACCCCCTGAATTAGTTGTATCTTGAGTTGAACTCTTATTTGGAGTAGTAGTCATACGCCTTTTATGTACACCATCAACACGACTAGAAGAGTTGTTGGCAAATGGTGCAGATTTAGGTCTTCCTCTAGTTGGACTCTAGAAGATAAGATAGAGAAAAATTACCAAAGTAAATGAAGTAAAATTATCACGTCTAAACGAACACAGCAGGGTTTATTTCACGCAGACAACGATTACTTTAATATTAAATCGTAGTAATAATACTGATAATATGAATACGATAAGTAGATATGCCACGTGCCAGGTGATCCACAAAAGAAAACTCAACGAAGCCGTTAAAGTGAAGACAGGAATATGACAAGGCTACTGCCTATTATTACCGATGATATTTTGAATTATGGTGGACTGGATTATGCGCCAAAATATGCATAGGGAGTGAGAAGACAGGAATACGCTGGACCGATGAGAAGACTCTATAAGATATGGACTTCGTGGATAATTTGTGTCTGATTTCACATAAACTTGAAGACTTGTAGGCAGCCGAAAACAAACAAACTGGCTGAAGAAGCAGTGAAGACAGGACAGATTTCAGCTGAACATAGAGAAACCGGAGGTGAAGATAACCAGCCAACAACAACCAACACTAATCACCACCAACAGGAAAAATTTGAAAGACGTTACTTCTTTCACTTATCTAGGGAGCATCGTTTCAACTACAGACGCATAGCAGGGATGAAGATGTTAAAGCCAGACAGAATTAGAAGGGCAAGATACACCTTCATCAATTTGAAATCGGTTTGGAAATGTTCCCAACTAACTCAACCATCATAAAAAACAAGATTCGAATTTTCAACACTAATGTCAAATCAGTCACTTCTTCTGTGAGTCAGACACTTGGTTGTCTCGTCACGAAAAGCATTTTCAACACGTTCCACAATTTTATCAACAGCTAACTTCGCTGGCTCCATAGTGAAGATCATATGGCCAACCAACAGGCCAGAAAGAATTAGCAACAAGAAACTCTGGCAACCAACCAATCAAGAGCCAATTGCTCAACATATATGTAGGAGAAAATGGAGATGGAATGGGCATACAATTGGAGACCACCGGATGACGTCGCGTGACAGGCCATTGCTCGAGTGAAACCCCAATGGAAAACGACGAGTGGGTCATTGGTGTGAGGGTGACATGGAGGAGATCGTGGGAGTTGGAGATGACAGAATATAGGCAATTGTGGGGCCAGCTGAAGAGGAGAGCAGAGAATAGAACAAAGTGGAGATGTGTTGTTGAAGCCTTATTTTCCACTCGGAACCCAAGGGAACAACAATAATAGAGAATACAATGTTTTTCATGTGGCTGGAGGCAATCAGAAGGAGGCCTTGTACTGAATTTTCAACCTTGGTGACACATGCCATGCATGCAGGGCGTAGCTGGAGTCTTCTAGGAACTCATGCCCTTTCTGAGATTCAAACCTGGGTTCAAAGCTTCCTGATGATTACCTCCAAACATCTAATAACAATAATACAGGGTGCACTATGATGGCAAGCCGTCTAGCATGGTAAAGCCAAATTGCAGTGTTGACTGATAGAATTCAGTCTGCACTGAAAGAAGGATTAGACGCATGACACCATTTAGTATCTAGTGTGCGACCAAAGGAAACAGAATTTATCAAATATGCTGCTTTGAGACCAGTTCAATTACGCTGAAAGAAAAGTATGGCGAAAAACCTAACTTTTGTCTTATTACTAAGCTAGAACTAGTGCAGGTTAGATTCGAACTGCTAAACTTAAAGGGATTCTATTAAAATATAATATAACAAATAAAAATTATACATCTTATTTAGGAAAGAAATCCTATTTACCAATGAATGATATCTGAACCATTATAAAACGGTAAGGAGAAATTCCTACAGGTAATGGGATCGAAAATCTTGTTGATATCTTGAGAAAAAAATACACGAGAAAAACAAATCTATCGATTCTTTGGTTGAACAGAAATCAACTTTTAGTGGGTAACTGCAATTCAGATCTCTTAACATGTCTCCTCTGTGACATGGAACCGGACACTACTAGTTGAGGTGTCGACCACTTAACTGTGAAAAGAACGCTTCAAGAATTGAAGTTTGTAAAGAATAACAATTTGTGTTTAGAAAACTAGAGATAGAGAGATGTAAGAATTTCATGTATGACAGGGAAAATTTAATGACAGAAGATATTTTCTTTTTGAGAAGAGAAGCTAAATATATAGCTTGTTTAGTAGGAAATACACTCAAGAAAACTAGCAAGCTGGTTAACTAGATGAGGTTGAAGGCGTATATGTCACCGTGAAGAAACTCACGTCCCTTCTGAGATTCGAACCCGCGTCACTTAGTGTCGCCTTCAATCAGAGACGTTACCACTTAGCTATTCGGGCTCAATAATAATCAAGCACTTACTAAGTAACCATATAGGGATTATTGTTGTAGATGTTTAGATGATGCCTGAATTTAAACACCATTGCAGTAGAATGTAGCTGTTTGTATGATCGTTTCTTTTCATACTGAAGAATATGCAAGTTTTAGTACAGACTACATAAATGGATTTTCATCAGTGTGGTGAAATAACAAAAGTTTAGTATTTGAAAACAAGAAAGGTATTTATGAATAGAGTTAAACTTTGATGAAGTATCACGAGTTGCATAAAACCTCACCTAGTTTCATAAGGCAACCTATTAGTAAATGATGCTTTTCATTCCTTGTGACATTGCCAGCATTTAACTATACCGAGTGAACGTCAAAATCTCATCGCTTAACGAATTAACACCCCAGAGAGCTGTAGCCAAACCGGGAGTGAGAGGCCATGACCAGCGGAGTCCAACAATTCAGGCAAGGGAACAGTTAATCACTGATGATATTAGCTGAGGGTTGCACTACATACATCACGAATTGGCAGAACTTGGAATTCATGGGCTATTGGATCAAGTCGTAGTAAGTGTGAATGGTCAATGAGCTCGTCTTGTACCCCGAAGGTAGGTGGGTACTGATGACGAGTCCCATGCACGGACGAAACAGTCGTCCAGTGCCTTTTGGTTTTCCAATGGTTCTCTAAATGACTTCGTCTGATGATCAAACACCTGTATAACAGGAAATGGCAGGCAACCAATGATATTCATGGATTTCTCTGCCGATTTAGATTTTTTAGCTTTCACCGATCAACCGAGTGTTAGTGGCTTTCTGGATTTAGGTGACCTATGAATACACCCATTATTAGACTTTAAAGTCTCTAGGAAATTTTAAGCTCTACAATTATCAACCATATGACTGACTAACCACATAGGGCAAAAGGTGCTTATGCCTCGGTGTATTACGAAATGATGATTATATTGCTTGATTGTTTCAAGGTGAGATTTCATAAAAGCTTTTAGATGAACAACTTTACAATTTTTCAATCAATCACGCACCCACTGGTATGCGAACTGTATATATATATATACTCATTTATAATTCACCATCGTGTAGTTATTGTGATTTTTATACAAGTGTCTTGTTTTAATGTAGAAAGTACTTTACATTCCTGAGATTTACAGTGTGCCCTTACCAACCGGCAATAGTGAAAACCAATACAGTTGAAGAACGTATAAAGAACTAAACTATATACCACTTTAACCACATATGTATACGTAATATAGAATGTACACGCTTTTCAGTATATATCGAACTAAACTTGCGCTGTTATTCAACACTAGTCACCACGTTAAAAAAAACCGACTCGTTTAAACAACTTATCGTCTCGAGAAAAAAAAGTGTATTACTTACAGGTTTAATAGCATTTGATGAACTAGATTTTGTCCATATATCTGAATTGCCTTCAGCATCTGAACTTCCAGCTGTCGGTGAACACCAATCCGAACGACTATTATCATTAGCTGCGGCAAAAACAAGCAGAAAGAAGCATATGAGTGAGCTATCAATTATACATTTCATCATTAAAAACATAAATTCCGTGTACAACCTCAAATTTTACATAAAATAACAAGTTGAAATTTAGAACACTTGCAAAATTGTCACCTCTGATGGTTAAAGTTAAAAAATCACTCATTTGTTTCTTAATGTAAATGATAATAAGAACAAGGTGGAGTTCATAAGAAAAAAAATATTTGCCTAAAAAGTAAATATGAATACAAATGCAAGGTGCAGTCGATATTCAACTACCATACCATGAACAGCTTTTTACCATGAAAACCTAAGCATTAAATCGGAGACGAGACCAGACAAAGAAATTCCAAGTTCACAAACATACAAACACTTCTGTAACTTATAAAGCAGAATAAAAAATGACTTAAGTGCAACACATGTAAGAAAACAATATTTTGTTTCTATTTAATTCGATCTCATTAGGCTTAATTCCAATACATATAACTTGACAAATAAGTGCAATTAATGGTTTACGAGCTTGCCTAGTAACCGGAAGGTTCCAGGATCGAACCCTGGCGGTGGGTGCGTACTGCTGAAAAGTCCTAGACTAGAAGAAAACAACTGTCCTCCAGTACTCCCTGCTGGTTTTCCAATGGTTCTCTAACCAATGTCAGCTCATGATGAAGTCCTGTAACCGATCAAATCCCTGCAAATCAACACTTAAATATAATTAAATAGCAAATCAATCATGATTTGTCAATAGGACGATAAGATTGTTCACATAAATTGTGCAGTTAGCCATGATAATACTAATAGGAGACTAGCTAGAAGTATACGGAAAACACTACGCAGCAAACATATATTTGTCATTTTCTAGTCAACGAATTATCTGGACTGAAACGAAGGATAAGCTAGATATTTCCTGGAATGATTTGAGCTCCGAGTCAGATTGATTCATTATAAATTATTTAAATTAATCCCAGCGTATTAATAAAATCAAAACAAGATTTTTCTGATAAATCTGCTGAAGAAGCTGTGGCTTACACAGCGAAACGTTAAGAAAAATCTTGTTTTGATTTTCTTAATACGCTGGGATTAATTTAAATAATTTATAATGGATAAGCTAGATAGTTTTGCCATGTCTACGTATGATTATCAATTCAGGTGCTCCTGTGGAGACAATTATATGTTGGGAGCACCATAGACAATCTAACCAACGTGTTACGAAGCGTCTTGCATCATGGGTGGTTTGGCAAAGGACAGACAATAGCCATCCAAAACTGTGTTTCATTATATTTAATTGATCGTGATCGTTTAGAGAAAACAAAAACATCCTCAGTGATTCATCATCAAATTCCACCGAATCTTTGCAATGAACTTCGTATCTGTCTATCGCTCATAGCTGAGGCGATTGACATTCAAAATATTAAGCCTAAATTATGCATTCAAAAGAAGTTTGTACAACCATTATTCCCTCTTTGGCTAATAAAGGCCTAAATAACTGATGTCGCCACCATCCTCTACTTATATTTTTGATCCCTTTCTTATCACCGCTTAGTCATATCACATCTTCGTTAAAATATAGTTGGTTTACTTCCTTTACAAACTAGTAATACTTAATCTGACTTCTTAGTCTTTATCTACAGTGTCTACCTGGATATTGATTTGTTTAATCATGCCATTTTCCATTATTCTTGTTAACACAAATTGCTCCACTTTTTCATCTCTGGTATTAAAAGAATTATTACTAATATAATCTATAATAATATTATAATAATTTGCTTTATTCCAAAACAGTAGCTAAGATACAGTGTGGAATTCTCGGCATTTTGTACAATAATATCATCTAATTTACTCAACAATAGCAAAAACAAAAAATAATACAACAGGATTGATAATGGTGATTTTTTGGTATTTACAGTGACAGTAAAGTCAAAATGTACAAAAAGTGTAATATAATAATGATAATAATGTTTAATAGCTAATTTATAAGTTAATTAGAATAGTACTTCCATAGATCATAAATAGGAGAGAATAAAAGAGTCGATTATCCTGCTAATAACACAATAAGTCGTAGGTTTCTCTATCACACAGGACACGGGACAGACATGGTATTGTTGAGTTTCTGTCCTACCTTATGAAATGCAAGAGGAGAATTGAGGGTAAGACAATGTGGATTTAGACCATTTCTCACATCAATTCGGGTGTCTATCAATTACTGTAGTAACAAGCTAACTTAGCAGTGGTACACCACTTGCCTTACTGACAACCTTTAATACCCTGTGTAATATGACATAATCCTTCTTGAGTAGCCCGGGAAAGACTTTGGGGAAGCAACAAAGAACAATAGGTAAGATGCTAGAGTTAACAAACTGTAAAAGTAGCGGTTGAGCGATACCTACTTGATTCTCTTAACTTCCTTAACGCAGCAGATAAGACGGAACAAAACATAGAATGACCAATGAAAGTCGGAGGATAGAACTATTCTAAGGTATTTTATGCTTGACTTAGTTCCTATTTTTAGTGCCCTCTACGCTGTAACCATCATGTGAACGAATCAGTTCTTGTAGATCAAGTTTATGCCGTAAGGTGAAGTTAATAGTCTGACATTTAAAAGGACTCAAGGTAAGACGATTTGCTACTATTATTATCACTAATTGTACAACTAATACGCGCATTCTCATCACCCTACTGACAAATCACCATGATTGGCTTATTATATTTATAATTGTATCCACTTGTAAATTTCTGTATATTAAAGTCTGATGAAATTTAACTGGAAACACAATATTTTTCACTAACATGTGTTATTATAAATTTTACTATGGGAATATTTAATCTCATAAAAATAGCTGCAAACATGAAAGTCACAGAGTTGGAGCGGAGGATGTGAATCCTGAACTACTCATTAGCTAGCTTAAATAGAGTGCTTCCACCAATGTACCACCACCCAATCTCGACACATACATGAAATATTCAAAGAAACGAAATGCAAGTAGTAGTTGTAGGCATGACAGAGGGAGGAACAAAAATGTGAATGAAAGCCACTAGCAATGATGGATAGTATTGTTTGTTACCAAAAAAACATACAACCTACATGCACACACACACACTTGTTTCACAGTCGAGCCTTATTTTAATATCGAAAACCATTTACGTGTATGTACGGACTACTGTTCATTTAGAAATGAAACTGTGAATTGATTTTACAATATGGGACTTTGTACAAAAATGCAGATTTTAAGACTTTTATTAAATTCAGCTGAAGTGTAGTTTAGTGTTACACATTAACTAGGAGAGAATGGACAGTACTACTAGTTAACGGGTCAAGTCAAGATACAATCAACTAGAGATTTGTAGCTCACTACTTCTCTACTAATTACAAATAAAATCAACTAATTGACATTCCAACTAGTGAAAAATTGCCTGGCAGTGGAGTCTCTCGCATATAGCATTTTGTATTAGTGAAACGATCTGAGTAAAAAAAATTTTAGTGAAGGGACTGCTTAACAGTTACATTTTTTCTTCTTTCTTTTGACTTAGCCAAAAGTAGTTGGAGGGCAACGAAAACACAAAGGAATAGAATACGTAACGAGCTTTGTTTATTTTCGTGTGCTATGTAATTTCTACAATGCTCTACCTTTATTATTTCACATGCCTCGATAAACTTGATAGCAGATGACTCATTATATATATATATATATATCATTATTAATGATATACATTCATAGGAAATCCAGGGGCTGACATTTTTTTGTTATATATATGAGCATGATTACGGTAATTAACTATCCGCCTAGTCTGATTCTTGCTGTTTCAGTCTTTCCATGTTATGTGGGATTGTGCTTTTTTGTTGATGAAATAAACAGATACAAACAATTACCCAGCTTATCCAAATGTTTATCAATGTCCACACAACCAGTCCCTGTAATGAGCCTGAATAGTTGACAAATAATCGTTACCCAATAGTGTTTGCGATATCGTTTTATGGACTATTCAGCCAGCTTACTTTTATGCATATGACTGATGTGCAGTCTCCTCTAGTAGTAATAAATTAACTGGGTACTCCATCGTTCAAATTACTCTCACTAAATGGTGTGCTCGGTTGGGTCAGTCAGCAGGACGTGAGATTTCATCTCAGAGTTGTAGGTTCGTGCCTCACATGGACGACTCAATGATAGGATGCTCGTTAGTCATGCAAGTGGTCAAGACACGATTCCCGATCGACGCACCTTTCAAATACGCGTAGTTCACTTATCAACAGTAAGCCCGGAATAACGGAAAAGTTTGGTTTAAGGCTTGCAGCAAACTCACCTTGTGAAACCAACACCGCTGCTGAAACTTCAAAAAAAGCTTGAAGCATAATATTACACTTAGAGGACGAGAAATGAAAGCAGATAAGGTTTTTATTTTCCACATAGGCTCATTATTACTAGTAATATTGATGAGATTGCGGTAAACTGTATTACAAATGAGATAAACTTACTAGATTTGATACGGCCTCTGGATTTGGGTGGACGCCCGCGACGCGGCTTTTCAGATTTCTTAATTTTCCAATCAGGAGATTGCTGAAGTTAGAAAATATGGTGGAATTTAATTTTGGACGTTATATAAAAGAAACTCCTATGAACTATGCCATAACCTGCATTACACTACAACTCAAATTTATACTGAGGGAAATAATTAAAGCCGAAAACTGGTCTTCAGCTTGAAATGCCCTCATGTGGTCACGCGTTCATAATCTATACTAGGTAAATCTTATTCACTTCTTTCAGGAGACTGAGTCCTGCTTACATGAATGCGAATATTTGCTGCTCATTACAGGACTGACGGGCATAGAAGTCCAAATAAGGGGGCTGGAAAACCCTGATTCCGATCCTATGGTGCACATGGACATGTTTTGATCACCGGCAATCATGGGGAAGCAGCTACTGACGTTGCTCTGTGGTCTTGTGAATCAGACGTCAAGTCTTTTAAGATAACCGTTCACTTCAACTTGAAAGTCAGGACAACATCGCAGTCCTCATAAGGAAAAAGTATGGTGGGTCTCTTGTATCAAGTATGTATTGGAAATAAATTAACAGATATATACAGAAAAGTTGCCATAACAAAGTTACACTTTCGCTGTTGTTCTCAAGCGGAATTAGCCTCAGTGAAAGGAATACATTAACAATTTAAAAGTTAAAACGAAAGATTTCTGCCAATAGTGTTACGATGATTCCATAAAGTACTTACTACACAAGATATAAATATATCAAACAAATTAGGCTTAGTACTAGTCAAAAATATAAAAGCCGTTTGAAAAAGTTGTAAAAATACCACTTACATTTGAGCGCCAATTATTTTCAGGACCATTGTTTACGGAGTGAGGGGGATCTTCTGCTTCTGACAAAGAGCCTGATGAAACAGATGAAGATGGGCTCACTGAAGAACGTGGTGATGAAGAAGAACTTTGATACTTGAGTCGCCGGATAGGTCTTCCTTTATTATCTCGAAGTGGAGGTCTTCCCCTACCCCGCTGACCTCGTAAATTAGTATTTAAATGATTCTCTCTTGACGGTTTTCTATAAGGTTTATCATGTTCACGATGAGTTAAAGACAAAAGATCGGCAGTAAATGAACTCGCTGGTCTACGTGTAGATCCGACTGCAGCAGCCATAGCTGCCTTTGTTTCCGCAAGTGCCGATATTGCTGCAGCGCCAGGAGTACCAGGCTGAACAGCTGGCATTGGAAGACGATTACTCGCTGACCTTTTATCAGTAGAACCCGTATGTGAATTTACGGAAGGACCATGAGTTCTGAAGCGTTTACCACCTGAACGTGGACAAGGTGAGTCATCATGAGTGTTTGAATCACCAGTAGGCGTTTCACTACTGGTTGAATGTTGGCTGCTTGAAGACGTATGACGCCTGTAAACAAAATCACAAACACACAATTACAGGTGTTAAACCCAACTAGTCAGCACTAAAAGTTGTGCTGGTATAGAAATGCCTAGAAATACCAATTGGTGAAGTGATAGTGAACACGCATGACAGAAACTCCCGATAACTGATTGATACGTATAACTCATTTTTTACGTTTGGCTTATTAGTGAATAAATGGGCATTAATCATCATCTGAAGAATGCAAAGACCATCGAGAATGAAGAACATTTGTATGAAAATTTGAATTAGTCTTTCACTTAACATTTAGTAGTTCAGACTGCATGTGATTATTCAACCACTAAACATAAGGCCGTGGATGTTGCAAAATGAATACGAGACACATCCATAATAGAATAATTTCATTTGATACACCACACAGTGATACAGTATTACTTATTTACTGATGGATCAGGGTCGCATTAAAGTTAAAGGACATTAAAGGTGTCTAGAGCACGAAACAATGATAATTAGTGAAATCTGAGTCATATGATAAGGAGCAATTGTTAGTTATACTATATGAAAAAACCGACGTCAACAGTTGCAAATACTATGGAGAGTAAAGTGGGATTGATAGCACCGATGCATATCCGCTCATAAATTACCTTGGCCTAGCCTAAGTTGTAACGCAAAAATTCATCATGCACATAAACTCTTTTATCAGACATTATTTGTACTTATGTTATTCCCCTTATCATTTTTTTCTTAAATGCACTGGTCCTGTAAGCGAAAACTTAAGCTATTACTGAGGATATCCAGATTTTATACAGATGCTGTTGGTTTGCTAACATACATTTACAGTGTATATTCTCTCGTTTGACTCAACAAAGTTATGGGATAATACGACTCATTAGTAGGAAGATGTATTGACCACTTCAAGTTGCAACAACCAACGCCAACGGGTTGATCGCTGACGAAATCTCACCACGGATACACAAGGCTCGTTAGATATATGAAAATTTACGCCATCTCTGGCTTAGTAGACGTGATATCTGGCTGTCGATCAAAAGGAGCATGTACTGCTTAGCAGTCCGCTCTGTCTTTCATGGCTGTCGTGAGAGATGGTCATTAAAATTGGAAGCTACGAAAAGGCTAGCTAGCTGTCTTTGATCATAGGTATCTGAGTTCTATATCGCGTGTTAAGTAGTATAATGGGGTGAGTATTATTGAAGTTTGACATAGGTCAAGTGCTTGGTGAGCAGGGGAAATCAATCAACGAGGTTATGAAGCAGCTGCATCGATTAAGATGGTTAGGACATGTGTTGCGTATGCTTAGCCATCGCCTTCCTCGACGGACGATGTTAGCTGACATAGCATCAATCAGGTTTGAAGAGAGCTAGTGGTGGTCAAACCAAAACATTTCCTCATCAGTCAATGAAATCCACAACAGTTAGTTTAAGCCAGCCAGCCACGTAGAGAAGAGTAAACTTTCTGACCGACTGGTTGGGGTCCCCAGGATGGTAAAAACCAATCAAGGCTGGGATGGAGACAATCGGTGATATCGCTCAAAATCGTTCTCAATGTCTGGCGCAGATGCATTCACTCTTTGTGATTTATAATATCCAATAAAATTCTATTGTTCTTCCATAATACTATTCTTTTTCCCTAACTCACACTTTTGTTTATTATTTCTCTCGTTTCAATATCTCTTTCTTCTCTTCTCTTGCTTTATGTGCTACATGTAGGGAGTGCGGCAACTCAAAATGCTGTAAATCTGTGCAAAGTTCTATGTTGAATCCAGTCAGTCAGTCAAAACTCATTAGTCACTAAGTCTCAGAGGAGAAAAGAATCGTAGAATGAATGAATGCCTACGGGAAGCCTGATAGCTTACAAAATCTTAATGTTTACGCTCTATGAAATATATCTACATATGAAATAAATACATTACCTCCTTTTATTTCCTTTTCTGTTGCTTGATGTTAAAGAAGATCGTGGACTATCTGGACGGTGTGAACGTTGGTTTTGACTAATGATTTTACGTCGTGGACCGAGATACATTTCATCTGAATAGTCATCATCTGATGGTGGGAGGTCACTTTCACCAGAAGAATGTGTATAATATCCACTATCAATATTGGCTTGCAGTTTACTAACTTCATTCCATGCTCGCTCAAATCCTCCACCTGAAACACCACCTGTGGTACTCGACCGACGAAGCACACCAACTTCATCAGCAGGTAGATGAAAAGCACGTGTATGCGTCTTTTTGACAAACATTCGTTCATGTGATCCACCGAAGAAACGTATCTAAGATGAACAGATATCACATAAAGTTGTTTCTGAAATGTTATCCAGCAGAAAATGCATTCAGTGTGACAGAAAGATCGAATAACGAGAAATAGTTTATAGAAGACGATGAGGTGTGTCTTATCTAAACTTGAAAGAAATTCAATTTTAGGAGATCACTACATGGCTTCAATAAAGTGGTGAAGCATGAGTGAAACCTTAATTTGTAAAAATTATTCACATCATTAAAGAATATATATAGAGTTGTAAGAGATAACATCAACCTCACCTAGTTTACTAGCTCGCTAGTTTTCTAGTCGGTCCCAAGCCTTGGAAAAGAGGGAGCGTTGGACGTGGGGCTAGGGACCGTACCTCCAAAAACCACTCATACTGCTACAGAAACTTTAACACACAATAAAATTATTAAAAATACAAAAAATTTAAGAAACTTATTCTTCGTTCGAATCGGAGAGGCGAAATGACACAACGGGCTGGTGAAAGCTTTCAAGAAGCCAGTCAGCCGATTTGTCTTTCGATGGAAAGCAAAAATAAGAATAGGGACCCGGCAATGTACGAGACTGGGAAGGCTACCTAGGTAGCAAAGGAATGAGAAGATATGGTATAGAAGTGCTGGGAATCTGCGAAAACAGATGAAATGGATGTGGATTATCAACATTGTCAACTGGAGAGTCAGTAATCTACTCCGGTCCGTTCACCCAGACGCCAACCACGAGAGTGATGAAGCGATGAGTGGCTATCATGATGTCACCAGTAGCAACCAATGTAGTGGGAACCAATCACCAGGATCATGACAGCGAGATTCAACTCAAAAGGAAGGAAGATTACAAGTATCCAATACTACGCATCTATAAACAACTCGCAACAAAAGAAGGAAAACTTCTATGGACAACATCCTAAATGGAAACAAAAATCCTTATGGGTGACAGGAATGCCAAACTGGGAACAGACAATACGGAAAAAGAACTCATCATGGGTCAAGAGGTTCTGGGCGGAATGAATGACCATGGAGAACCTTTCGCAGGCCTTTGGGCCCCCATTGATTTGGTGATCGGAATATATAGAAGCAACATGGATTTCACCTGACGGACACACCACAAACCAGATAGACTTCATCTCGATGCTGATCAAGAAAGTGGAGACGCAGCCTGCCGATACAAAGTCGACAAGGGGAGCAGATGTGGGCTTAGACCATTAACCAGTGCAAAGACCTTCAAGGTTAAGCTGAAAGTCCTCAAAATAACTGGAAACAGACGACAATTCAAGTTTAACACTCAGAAACTGAAAGACGAAACTACAAAGATAGCTACACTGCAGCCTTCAGACCAAAGTCAGAGGCACTGTGTAGCATCACTGAGTCAACCTGAGGGAGAACATTGGAACTCTGTGAAGGTGATGTTCAAGGAAACGTGTACAACCGTTTTAGGGAGAAAGAGGCAAGACAAGGAGCGGCTTCCAACAGACACCCGGAAGCTCATAAAAGAGAAGACGATGGAGAAAAAGAATATGCACCAATGCCAGGATGGGTAACAGGAGAGGCGGAGTTCAATGCACATCGTGCTGAATAAAGAAATGAAAAGGAGTGCTAGGAAAGACAAAAGACAATTCTACGACAAACTGGCTGGTGACTGAAGCAGAACAGAGTACATCAGATAACCAGGTCTCTATACGGGAAGAGATCAACTCAGATGATGAAACCAATAAAAGATGCTCACGGGAACCTGATTACCAAGAAGAAACAAATCAAACAATGGGCTGATCATTTTAAAGGACTCTTGAATCGACCATCATCTGCAACTCACCCAGAAATACAACCACCACAGACGGCATGCATACAACTGCCTGCCAGTGGACACCGATCCTTCAACGAAAGCACAAATCCTGAACGCGATCAAGCTACTGAATGCTGACCGGAAGGCAGCAGGGCAGACGGAATTCCCGCCCCCCCCCTCCAAAGCACTGAAAACGGACAGAGACTTCACCAGATGCACTCACGCCATTTTTGCAAAAGATTTGGAAGGAAGAAATGGCACCACCTACTGATTGGAAGGATACGTCGTCAAACTACCAGAGAAGCGCGACTTACGCCTCTGCAAGAACTGATGCGGAATAATGCTCTTGTCTACGCCAAGTAAAAAAATCTTTCTGGGGAGAATAAAGGATGCACTGGATACAGAGCCCCACCACCCACCGAAACAAGCTGGATTCAGGAAAAGCAGATCATGTGCTGATCAAATTGCAACTCTACGGATCATCACCTAACAAAGCATGGAATGGCGGTCAAACCTCTACCTCAACTTCATCGACTTCGAAAAGGCCTTCGACAGCGTTGACTACGAAGCAATTTGGAAACTTCTTCAACACTACGGCGTGCAGTGCCAAAATCTTCATCAACCTCACTCAACAGCTGTTACGTGTCAGGTGATCCACAACGGGAAACTCAGCGAAGCCGTTAAAGTGAAGAGTAAGGAGTAAGACAAAACTGCTGTCTATTATCACCGATGATATTTCGAATTATGGTGGACTGGATTATGCGCCACAATGTGCATAGGGAGTGAGAAGATAGGAATACGCTGGACCGATTAGAAGACTCTATAAGATATGGACTTCGTGGATAATTTGTATCTGATTTCACATAAACTCGAAGACTTGTAGGCAGCTGAAAACCAACAAACTGGTTTAGAAATCTTATGCACTCAGTATCAAGAACAAGATTCGGATTTTCAACACCAATGTCAAGTCAGTCACTTCTTCTATATGGGTCAGAAACTTCGTTCTCTCATTACAAAAAGCATTTTCAACACGTTCCACACTTTTATCAACAGCTAACTTCGCTGGCTCCATAGTGAACATCATATGGCCAGCCAACAGGCCAGAAAGAATTAGCAACAAGAAACTCTGGCAACCAACCAATCAAGAGCCAATTGCTCAACAAATATGTAGGAGAAAATGGAGATGGAATGGGCATACAATTGGAGACCACCGGATGACGTCGCGTGACAGGCCATTGCTCGAGTGAAACCCCAATGGAAAACGACGAGTGGGTCATTGGTGTGAGGGTGACATGGAGGAGATTGTGCGAGTTGGAGATGACAGAATATAGGCAACTGTGGGGCCAGCTGAAGAGGAGAGCAGAGAATAGAACAAAGTGGAGATGTGTTGTTGAAGCCCTATTTTCCACTCGGAACCCAAGGGAATATTAATGATAATAATAATAAGGCGGTAACACCATCATTTCCTGACAATGGATACGCACTTTCCAGAAATTTCCTTGGACTTGAATATAGTCAATCACCACAAAGCTAACTTTCATGATATAGATTACTACTTGCTCCATACGGAGCGTAAAATATTGCAGGGCACTGTATATAACGAGATATGTTAAATGGATTTGAGTTGAGAAATAAGTGCTAAGATCACATAGATACAATGAAAGGCACTAAATAACTTCAAATTTTTCGGTAACAAGGAAAATGGTACACGTTTGAGCCGAATCCGGAACAGAAAATTTACATTACAAAGCTTCAGTAGTTAGCTTACCTCATATCCATCATCACGCTCTAACAAAACTTTTGCTGGCCAGTAGAACTGTGCAACTGAAGAATCATTAAACAAACCAGCACCAGCTGACGTGCGATTGCGTGCCCATATTAATTCGTGACGTGGTTTACAGGGTTTACTTATCCAATCTGTAACTCGCGCCTTCGCATTAATGTAACAGTCAGTACAGAGTTGAATTTCATTTAATTCCGTATTCACAGAACGAAAGAAAAACCGGATTTCATCCGCTTGATTACTATAAGGACCATGCAGGATGCAGACATCATGTACAAGCAACTGTACATCCATAGAAAACTCTTCCAAGGCAGCATAACGACCATCTTTTATTTTACGTTGCAATAACTCCAGATCAGTGTACTTGTATACAAGATATTCGTTTTTCGTTATCTCACCTGCATAACCAACCTGAAGAAATGTCTTCCACAATGGTTGTTTTCTTAGATGATGTGTCGCAAATTCCAACAGTTTTCTTATTTGTTTACGGGAAAATTCACATTTCGGTCTAGATTCGCAAACAGGACAGGTAAAATTGTTGTCTTGACCATCATGAAGGGTGGGTGAACGCATAGACCTCCTAGAAGGGCTGCTGGGACCAGTAGCTTCTTGAACACAGTCAGCATGATATACACGGAAGCAGTCGAGACAGCGTAGCACTTCACCAGGCCGATGACATTGGAAGCAATACCAGTCATGCTTTCCTCTCGGGAATGGTTTTGTAAAATCAGGAAGCTGATAGCGTACCATACCATTTTTCCCAAAAGGAGGTTCAATTTTTTCAATTAGTCCATCGCCTTCGATTTCATCAAGTAATAGTCTAATCTGATCATCCTTTAAATTTAGTGTTTTTCGAAGGGTTTTGTTTATTTTATCGGCTGGTACTGCTGGTCTATTAGACTTGACTACGCTGAGAGCATCCCATACTTGGCGCACCTTTAGTGGATCAGCGTGTCGATAGCTCCTAAGTTTGGCATAATCCATTTTGAAGTCAGTTCATTTTCTGAAACACAAAAAAGTCTTTAATATAATAAGCTTAGAGGGAAAAAAGCAGCTAAATCACCGGAAACAAAGATGACTAACAAGCATGGAAAAACTATGAGCAACTGATGCTGATAAAATTTATCAATATGATTTCTCGGAATAAACAGTAGGGTTTTTCTTTTTCCTTGTAAAAAGAAAGGAACGAGGAGTAAGAATACGGTGGAACGACTTGGTCATTATTAAAAGTATGTGCGATTCCTCTACGCATGAGCTTGTATATGATTGCTGAATCCACCATCTCCAGAGTTTTTCGCTTTGCGGAGTATCTCTTGACACTAGGGGGTATCGTACTAAAACAAGTGGTAAACATCCTTTTTGCAGGTTTCTTCATGTTAATCTGATGCGAATTATGATGGCGGAGGCTAACTAGCAGTGGGGACTCAGTCGCTTCGACTGATGTTTTCATTGAGGTGTTTATATATTCATCTCCAATGAATTCCACAACTCTGAGTAACAATCGAAAACATACTCCGAAAGTGGAGAAAAATGAAGTAGGATCTAAATGGTGAACGAGGGCTGATAGAGCAAGTGTTACTGTTATGGATGGTGACAGTGGAAGCTATTGCATTTTAAACGTTACCATATCACGGTAATATTTTATCACTACTCCGTTCACCAGGTTCAATAAATATTAAAGAAACAGTAAAAACCAGGTATGCAGACAGGTGCAATGTGATGTAGCTAGGGTATGATACTGCGATCATCTCGTAGAGCATTCAGATGTTAGGATAAGAAGTTTAAAACATTGTACTATACCTACATAAGTCACCTTAGAAATATCGTCACAGGACGCCAATCCATTTCTCATGAAAGAAATCGATACACTGAAACTAGTCTGAAGAACATAAAGCAGCGACAAGATATGTCCACACTTCATACGAAGACGACGGAAGAAATACAACTTCAAGTTGTCTGATAGCAATCTAACTTTCTAGTGTTGTACAGAGGATTAGAAACTGAATGTTGGCTTACTAAATCACTTCAAGACCAATCACTATAGTGACCTGAAGAAGGATCCATAAATGATGGTGAAGTAATCAGATGACGCAGAACAATTTCATCTACCTAGCAAGCTGAAACTCAAAACTGGTTGGCAAAGAAGTAGCAACATTTTTTAAGAAAGGATTAAAAACAACTATTGAAATTTCAAGGATTCTCCACTAGGTAACACTCCACTTTACGTTCTTTGGTTTGGACAATACAGCGGTCCAACAAACTATCAAATATTTAAAACTGCTGACGAATTAGCATGTAAAGAAAAGCCTGAGTTGGTCGGTGAGGGGATATTAATGCAAGGAAGTAAGGAACAGAGGTCGAAGTTGTATGTAGTCAATAAGAAACCAAAGAGCACAGTACGGAGAACAAGGAAATGCTATAACCCCAATTTTTAACAAAAATTGGCGCACGACAAGTCATACGCTTACATCTATTTCATTGTGTTTACATTAGCCCACTCAGTTGCATCAATAGTAACTGCGAGAGTGAAAAATGCTTCTATGATAGGTAAGTTTTCTTGATATAACACAGTGACACAGTATTAACGACTGAAAGACATTTTGAGCACAATATACTGCTCATAATCATATCACTGTGCCCAGGCTGTACACTTACACGAAGAAAGTGGTTTGGCTATGTAAGTTCGATGAGGTTAGAAGTGATGCTCATTACATGGTATCAAAAGTCTTTGAAGTTTGTGGGTGATGAACAATAAAAATCAATCCGAATGAATACCGGAATCTATAGTTGACGACCACAGACAATTCTGTCACCCCTAATGACATGTTACATCCATTTCTCTCTTTTATTCTATCCTTACTGTCTCCTAAATGTTATGGAAAAACTAGGCGAGATAGATTAAACAATCACACAGAAATGCAAGGCCCCACATCGGACAAGTGCGATTTTACTCTACAGAATGGACCTAGTGTGGAAAGGTCATACAGACAGCAATTTGTGTATCCTTTATATTGCCACTACTTTGTGGAGTAGTTATGGCAGTCTTAATACTGTCAAAAAGTTAAGTGACCAACAGTCATAGAATCATTGGCTTACTCTCACGTAAAGTCAAAAGGATATAATATCCACTACTCTAATCCATTGTGATGTCATACAAAAACAATTACTACAACACTATATCCCTATTTGATGTACGTACACATTTCAGCTAAGGCAAAATAAGCAATAAGGCAAACACCAATTTGAAAAACTTCAGGTTTGCAGACTTCTAATTCATGGCAAAGCTTCAATAACTAGACGTAGTGTGCTATCTTAAATATTGTCACCAACCAAGTGACTTATCAGTGATTTATAACAGGTAGTGAAGGTAATCTAAAGCAACTGTACAAAAGCTGGTGACATGAGGTGCTAGGTTCATTGTTAGAAACAAATAAATATTTCATTCTGACAACCAAACAACGGAATGGAACAAGATTGTCAACTGTAACTAACCAACTCAGTTGTTCCCCAACTACGATGTACAGAGGCAAGGCGCAAACACTTCTATATTGCTACTTAACTTTTGTGATAAATTAGAAAACCTTAAGCTAGCAAATTAGTCCACAGAGCATGAAAAGAGGAAGAAAAGACGGGAGGACCACACAATTCAACTTACGTATACGATGGAGCTGCCATTATAAAGAGATCGTTTTAAACAAAAAAGATGTGTCTTCGAAATTATTGGCAGATATATTCACAAAGTCAATAAAATTATGTTATACAAAGTTTTTTTATACTTTAGTGATAATCTTATTAATTCATGGCGCGCGATATGAGAGAGCGTTTTGAGTTCGGTGAGTACTGCTGCGAACACAAATTTTCATATGTGGCGTTGGAGAGTTTTAGAATTGGAAATTGAAATTCTTAAACACAAATTTTCACAAATGACTGTTGTGGTTCGATAAGACTTTTAGATTCGTTGCAGTAGATATAAACTATAATATGCTGTGTATATTCTTTATCGCGCCTATACATGCTACATTGATCTAAGATGCTTATTTATATTTTCCAACAAAATACATATTTGCGACTACCTAGATTTTGTTCTCCAGAGCATCGATCAGAGTAGAGTTTATCACTAGTTCTAACAATAGTAAGTGTCAGTTAAGGACTACCTTGAAAGATATCGTGAGTTCTACGTAGTTTTTTGGACCTAACTTAATTATCTAATGAGTTATGTTAACGAAGTGTTTGTCTGTGTGCACTATTCCTTACTGCTTCTTACGTATACAGAACATATTATTTTAGATATAACTCATGAAAGCCCCGGGTGTATATTATATTCAGGGATCTCTTGTTTCTATGTCATTATTCCTCCCGTTCATTACTGTTTCTTTGAACTTTTCCTCTACCTCTAAGTGTTATATGAAGTGTTGGGGCTTGAACTGCTGGATTTTTGTCGTAGGTTTTCTGTTGAAAACTTTATTGTCAGGGCTGCTTAGGCACCGGCTTCATAGCAGTTTGCTGTTCCTTACCATTTTTTTAAATAACTGGTTCTTTTGTTTATCCACTTTGGGCGACTATAACTAGTGCCCTTGACTGAGTTTAATTACTTCAGTTTAGCTGGTATTAGTGTTAAGAGCGTTTGTCCCGTTGACCTTAAACATGTTCCTAGAGTTTAGTTAGCAAGAACAGGTCTCTCATGTATCAGTCTATAAGCCATGCATATATTGCGTTTGCTCACGATACTCCCTAGACTGAAGTAAATAAAGTAGAACTCCAACCTGAAACTTTACCTAAAAGCCGAATGCTTACACCAATGATCCACATCTCCATTCACCTAGATCATTGTGAAGTGTTAATCTGTTTTGCATCACCATAAATGGCCGTAATCCCTAACGTTATCTGTAAGTAACAGTATCGACCAGTTTCACGTTCATTGGAGTAGAGCAGAAGCGATAATATATTCTGTCACTTAGGTATTTGATGTAATACATTGTCTCGTACAGTGCCACCTGCAAATCTGTAAGGGAATCGAATGTCTTGTTAAAATCCTGAAACAAAAATTTCCTCCTCATAACCCTTCCGTCGAACATAGGGTTTCCTACCTAAAGCTGTGCTGCTCGTTTACAAACAAGTCATTTGTCTCTCCACTAGTAAAATTTTCATTTTATTCCATTTGCGTTCTCAGTGGAACATATGGCTTCAAGTTTGAGACTTGAAGTTTCTATAGAATATTGTGCTATTTTAAGAGGTGAGGTTGCCAGACTCATGTCCAACTTCTCGTTACCGGATTACTTTTGGTCAATAGTGGTACAAGAGTACCTCAGCCAGGGATCGAACCACATGCGTGGTTGGCGAGCATCCTACCGCTGCAACTAAACGGTTTCATTACTTTTTCCGGAGTCACTAAAGTAAAACGTTGATCTAAAAGGACAGTAGTAAGAAACTGATCGTCTGTAGCCATCCTCAAGAATGAGAAAACCACTGCATCTTAACCTTTCCTAGATAAGCTAGTCCGAAACGGCTTATGGATCAAGTCAACCCATGTTGGTGGCAACCTTAGATGTAGTCTATAATGTCCAAATTAGGACGTCTAAATTCAGTATTGATTATTAGTACTCTTGGTCTAAACACTGGTGGCAATATAACTTATAGTAGTGCATACTGGAGTATAGGTAGGTAACAGCTGGTTTTCTAAACACTTACTGAACAAAGATCACTGAGGAGACAGTTGAGTGACTCTCGAATTGGAAATATCAAGTTGGGCGTCTGAGGGAGACGCAGAGGAAATAAGCGTTTATGGTCTACCTAAAAACGAATGAATAGAACAGAGTCGAATTGCGATTTGTTGGTGAAACCCTGTGTTCCACTTAGAGTCCGAGAGATTGATAACTGACTGGGTTTCAGCATAGAACTTTGTACAGATGTACTTCAGTTCAAGTTGCCACAATCCTTATAGTACACAATGGTGAAGATAAGAAAGAACAAAGAGATTCGAATGAGCAGAATTGTACTGAAGAATAGTAACATGGAATGGTGTGAGGGTTTAACGGATCTGGGAAATCATAAAGAGTGAATGCATCTGAGCCATTGAGAATGCTTTTAATCCCTGTCACTAATAGTCTCCAGCATCCTCACTACCCCATCGCCTTTCTACGTAGCTGGTTCAAACCAATTATCAACGGACTTCATGGATTAATGTCATTTTTTGGTTTGACCACTCCTTAACTTTTTTCCAACTTAATCCCATATCAGCTGACATTACTTATCGAAGAAGGCGGTGGCTTAGAATGCACAACACGTCCTAGCCATCTCAATCGATTTAGCTTTACAACTTGCTCACTACATGCAACAATTCGCAGTTGATGTAGCTGATGAAAAAAAAATCATTAGACCACTGACTAATTCGGCTTGCTTACCTAAGACCTGTCGCAAGCAAGAACTTATTCCAATAAACCAAATGACTCCTAAGAATGTAAGTAAAAACTGTCGCTCCCTATCCGATGAAATTAACAGCTTGCAATCTCTCGTGTCATCCAATGTACGTCGCAATACGGGGGTTAGAACTGTCCAACAAACCTGGCTCCATAGTCTATATGATAATGTAGTCTGTCTAAGTGGTTTCAGATTTTTAAGACAAGATCGGTGCAGGTCTAAAAACGAAATGCGGCTGTGGCGTTGCATCCTTCATCATTTTCCACAAATCTTGATCCTGTCTCTTGGAAAGATATTACAGTGCCTAAATTACCAAGTGGATCATGCGGTATGCTTAGACCTATTGTCATTACATCACAATTTCAAAGAATTGTAGAAAAATTGCTCTTACGCATAACCGTGTACCTACATTGAAGGCTTTTAATGACCCAAAACAATTTACTTACAAACACGATAGATACACTTCAGATGCTACTGTTGTTTTACATCATAATATTATCTCCATTTTAGACAGAAGTGCTAAATATGTTCCGTATGCCTTCTTAGATTACACATCTGTCTCTAATTCTGTACCTAGGCCTTTCCAGTTAAACTGGCTTACTGTGACACAAAGAGGATACTGGATTAATAAGTGGTTGCATTTATGTTTTTCTGTTTATAAGCAGCATACCGTATATGAAGGAAAGTCTTCGACTGTTTTACTTACTGTACCCACTGTCCTTCAAGGTGTTGTTCTTTCTCCTTTTCTGTTTTCTTTCTTATATGGATTGCCTAATTCTAAAGCCAATTGTATTAAGTGTGGTGATGGTAAAACTGCTCCCATTGCAATTACTTCTCAGTTCCAAGATTGTTCCAAGAAGAATAGCTTTTTATCAGAAATTAGTCAGTAGTCTTTATCAAATGGCCTTAAGTTAAATCTTTCAAAATGTCAAATTGTTAATTTTACTTTCAGACACAAACGAGATTTACATTGAACTGGTTCATTCCCATGATTCTTGTGTCATAGATGATGGTGAAGTCAAAACTAAGTCGAATGTTAAAATACCTTGGTTTGTGTCTTTCCGCATCATTTTAATTCCTAGAAGGGTATTTTGTCTAACTTTCTACGTAAGGAAGTTAAGGCAATCTGATACTACTCTGTCTCCACTTCTACAGTTTGTTAATTCTTGTATTCTACCTATTCCTCTTTAGTGCATCCGCCGCTTAATCTCGTGTTGTGGGCTACTGAAGAAAAACTTTATTGCACTAAGGAGGACAGTAAAAGCTGCCGGTAGGGCGATTAGGGTATTTTAGACAGATACTTGAACTCATGCAAGAAATTAGCAAAAATCATTTTGTCGGACTCTGAGCATCTTTTCTCCTCAGTTAGGAGACTAGAAGCAATTATGAGACTATGCTCGAATGACTAAGCATAAAAGCTCTGTGATCCCTTATTTAGCACACATTGTATGTGGTGAGGACAGTTAGGTGTAAGACAATAAATGAACGTCCCTTTTTATTATTAATGTATTGATTTCAGTATTTTGTTAATTTAATTTAATTCTTACATTCATACTCTTTCTTGACATTATTGTCATTGTAAATGCTCTGTTAGTTATTTCTCCTGCGTACTATGTAAATTTAAGGAGAAAACTAGGTGCAATATTGTAATATACGCTGAAAATTCCACATTATGACTGACTGATTGGTTTCGACGTATAATTTTGCATGGATGTACAGCAGTTCCAGTTGCCACACTCCCCACATATAGCACACAGAGCAAGAAAAGAGAGTGAAGAGATATAATAAACAGAAGCGAGTGAAGGAAAAAGAATAGTAATATGGAAGAACAATAGAATTTTATTGGATATTATAAATCACAAAGAGTGAATGCATCTGCGCCAAACATTGAGAACGATTTTGAGCGATATCACCAATTGTCTCCAGCCCAGCCTTGATTGGTTTTTACCATCCTGAGGACCTCAACCAGTCAGTCAGGAAGTTTACACTTCTCTACGTGGCTGGCTGGCTGGTTTAAACTAACTGTTGTGGATTTCATTGACTGATGAGGAAATGTTCTAGTTTGACTATCACTAACACATAGTATCAAACTTGCCGTTTAGAATAAAGTCGTTATTGTTATTGATATTATTACTCTTGCCTTATGCACATAATTTTGTTACCGCCTACCGAAAACTTACTGTTTTTATTAAAAGATTTGCTTCTTAACAATAGATTATATTGATAATTTCTCTTTTAATTTCATAGATATACCTCACAATATCTGAACTGCACTTTGTGTAACACAAGTGCGAATACCATCTACATTTCTCAGTAACACATCATATAATATGATAGTTGACAGTCTGGAGTGCAGTATATGTTTACAAAATTTTATTCATCCTGCACAATTACCCTGTGGACATATATTTTGCTTTTTATGCATCAAAGGTTGTGCTTTTCATAGACTGAAATGTCCTATGTGTCGTAGTAGATTTTCTTCGCGTTTCTTTGATGATCCCAAACTTGTTAATGGTAAGCTTTATCTAATTTGTAATCCCATAAACTTAATAGTTTTATTTGCTCTACACTGATACTTATCTTATACATACAGGTTGTTGTGAACTGAAGTGCAACTCAATTATTCGATACTTGATGTTATCATGACTGCTAGATTATGTGTACATATAAGATATTAGATGATTGGAGGCAATCGGCAGGAAATTTTGGACCTAGGTTTCGTGCTAGTTGACACTAGTTACTAGTGTCCAATCAAAGTATCCAATACAGTCCTACAGAAGGTCGATGACGAGCCCGAATAGCTCAGTGTTAACATCTCTGACTGCAGCACTGAGTGACGCGAGTTCGAATCGCAGAAGGGACATGAGTTCCTTCAAGGTTGCAGATACGCCGCCTTGTTGACTGGTGAGTGCCAACTAACACGAAACCTAAGTCCAAGGCTTCCTTCCGATTGCCTCCAACCATATAATATCATCAAATCAATGTGCACGGTGATGGCGAGCTACCTAACCTGGTAGCCAAATTGCAAACCTGACTGATAGAATTCAGTCTGCACTAAACAAAGGACTAGACGCATCACACTAGTTACTAGTGTCCAATACATATAAGAGGATGGCAATACTTGAAAAATAAGATTACTCAGAGCACGCAAACCTTCAGAGTGAAACCTCACACTTATCAAATCTTGAAGGATGCTGCAGGACTGGTCTACACTATATCTTAGTTTAAAGATAAGGATTGGAATGATTGGAAAAATTGCCCTTTCTACTTATTTGGTAAGTTACCTCCGCCTTAATGTATTGATTAATGACGTCTTAGCGTCGACAGAAAAGGAGTGTTTGCTATTTACAAAGTTCCCATAGTAAAATTTAGAACAACACATTTAAGCGAACAATATTGTGTTTTCAATTAGATCTCATCAGACTTAACTCTAATATGCCTACATAACTTTACAAATAAAAATTCAAATATAAACCAATCATGGTGTTTTGTCTATAGGATAATAAGATGGTGAATATAAATTCTGCAATTAGTCATAATAATAATAGTAATAATAATGGTTTTATCAGTAATAAGGATGAAAAAGTGAGGCAATCTGTGATAACACGAATAATGAAAAACATCATGACTAAACAAACAAATGTTCAGGTAGAAGTAGTCGATAAAGGCTGATAAAAACAAATAAACCGATTAAGTAGTAATGCTAGGTTGTAAGGGAAGTAAATGAAACACGTTTTTAATGAAGATGTGATAAGATTAAGGGATGATAAGAGAGGGGTTGAAAATATAAGTAAAGGGTGGTGTAGAAGTCATCAGTTGGTTATGTCTTAATAGGCCAAGGGAGGGATAATGGCTGTACGAACTTCTTTTGAATGCATAGTTTAGGTTTAATATTTCGAATGCCTATCGCCTCAACTGTGTGCAGTAGACGAATACGAAGTCCATTGGAAAGATTCGGTGGGATACGATGAATTACTTTGAAAGCTCTCGTTTTCTCTACTACATGACCACTATCAACTAAATGTGACAAAATTGAGCTACGGATTGTTTTTGTCTGTCCTTTGCAAAACCATCATGACGGGAGATGTTCACTAACACGTTGGCTAAGCTATACTGTATTACGCTCAACATAACTGTCACCGCAGGTGCAGTTGAATTGATAAATGCACATAAATGTGGGAAAACTATCTAGCTTATCCCTCGTTTGCGTCCCAATCATTCGTCGGCTAGAGAATGACAAACATAGTTATGCTGCGTAAAACGTCCTTCGTATACTCCTGGAAAGTCTCTGGAGTAAAATCTCACTTGATAAGTCACCATTAAATTATAAATTAATGAATAGAGGTTTTTTACGTGCAGTCAGAGTCTCAGATTTTCTCTTTGACGTTTTCATACGTTTCTTTATGAAACTACTTGGATAACTCATCTCCATCAAGGAATCGTGAATATATTCAAATTCCTTTTGTAAGAGGTCATCCGTACATATCTTCCTTGCTCTGCTCGTAAGACATTTAACATTTCTTTTATATCTTATTATCCTATAGACAAAACACCATGATTGGTTTATATTTGAATTTTTATTTGTAAAGTTATGTAGGCATATTAGAGTTAAGCCTGATAAGATCTAATTGAAAACAATATTGTTCGCTTAAATGTGTTGTTCTAAATTTACAAAGTTGCATCATCTTTAGCTGAGGTGAAATATCCTGTTATCAGGACTGACAGTGACACACACACGCAACACTTCTTTCTGCTTCACTTTATATATGTGAAATGTGGTCGCTGAATGTAAAAGATATAAAGGTGTCATCGGTTGTCGAATCAATCAGTTACTCATATCTAGTTGTTGACTTCCTCGGCGTAGTAGAATTATGTTGGGGGGAAATGTTGAGTGTGGTATGAGCCAGATAGATTGGTGTAATTTGATTGTTGACTGTGGTCCTGAAGATGTTTAGTATAAAACAGTGATGGGATATACTCTGGATGACAACTTCCAGTATCTACTCCTTCCTTCGTAATTGATAGAAACAGATTTATTACCTCAGATTTGCTAATCTGTAGTTCCATTTCAGTCTTGGAAGTAATCCGCGCATTTTTGAATAAGCAGATTATTTGCCGGTACCAACTTTTTTTTATTCCTCTACGATCCGAGGAGGATATGATGCTTCAAGTTAGTGCTTTATAGTTTTAGTAGCAGTTGTTTCATTTATTTACAGGGTGGGGTTATTATTCTCACAACCAACCATCCCTCTTTATCCTCTCTAGGCTTACTACCAGCTTAGTAAAGTTTAAGAGGAGTGCGTCGGTCGAGGACTGAACCCTGGATCACGTGAGTGGTTGACGAGCTTTCCACCACTGAACCACCGACGCACACAGTGGAATAATATTTGAAAGTACCATTTTGTGACATTCATTCATTATTGGATAATGTTTTCTGAAAAATTCACAAACAATGCTTCAACTTTGTATAATTTCAGTCTGGGTTAAAAGTGAAAAAGATCGACTTGATGAAATAAATCAACTAGTCGATTCATGTGAATGTTTGTCAATCCGACCACAACAATCAGCAGCAGTAGAAGAAGGTGATGCTTCAACCTCAAATCATCAATGTTCAAATTATGCCTGGTTCTACGAAGGTTTTCAAGGTTGGTGGCAATACGATGAACGTACATGCTATGAGTTAGAAAATGCATTTAACAAACAATTACCATCTCATGAGCTAACAATTGCAGGTTATATTTATGTTATAGATCTAAAGAATATGACTCAAGTGAGTAGAGAGAGAGAAGTATTATGTAAAGGTTTTTGTGTATTAATTTGTGATAACACACTGTATTATTCATAAAGTCAGTAGCATTCTTGTTCAGCAATGTTTTCCATTGGTATTTGTGTTAAATGAGTACAATTCCAAAATGATTAAAGTTCGGCATTAAGGAAAATGTGGGTCGGTGGTTCAGCGATAGAGCACTGGCTGACCACACACGGGGTTCGAGTCCCGGCCGGCGCACACTTTAACCTCCCTTAGCCGGTTACAATCCTGACAAAGAGGGAAGATTGGGTGAGGGTGTCTAGCAACTCCACCCCTTAAAAACACCACTGTTACTGAAACTTCCAAGCTAAGACTTGAAGCCCGATGTTCCATCGGAAACGCAAAGGAAATAGAAAAATAAAATAAGGTATTCTTTCATCTGTATGCTATAACTCGTTGATTGCTGATATTACACAATGTTCACCATGAACATAGATTGAACCTAAACTCACTGACTGACTGAGTGGTTTCAGCATAGAACTTTGCACAGAAGTGCAGCACTACGAGCTGCTACACTCCATTTACCGAAAGAGAGAGAAAAGAGATCCAAAAGAACAATAATATGAAGAAATGTCAGAGAAAAGAATAGTAATATTTGAAAAAAAAACAATAGGGTTTAATGGTTATGTGGAGGATCACGAAAAGTGAATGCATTCATTCCATTGAGAACGATTTTGAGCCTTATCACCAATTGTTTTCAGTCATTGGTTTTTTAGCATCCCGAGAACCCCAACCAGTCAGGAAGTCTACACCTCCTTAGTTGACTGGCTGATACCAATAGTCAAAAATTTCATGGACTGATGAAAGGTTTCGGTTTGACAAACCTTAGCTCTTTTCCAACCCAATTCTTTGTCAGCTAACATTTCCTGTCAGGAAAGACGGTGACCGGGTATGCGTAACTAATATCCTAGCAATCTCAATTAGTTTTCTCTCCCTGTCTAACACCGTACATCTTAACTCAATATTACGCACCCTATTATACCACCTAACACGTGAGGTGGAACTCAGACACCTATGCTCAAAGACAGCTAGCCCCTTCATATCTTCTAATTTCAGTGATCATATCTCACAGCTATAAAAAAGGACAGAGCAAACTGGTGCTCAGTACATACATTCTTTGGGGGGATTTTGGGATATCGCGTTTACGCTAGAAGTGACGTAAGCTGGTGAATGCTACACGAGCCTGAGATTTCGTCAGGAATCAGTTCATTGGAGATGATGCAACTTCACAAATAAATGAAGTGGTCAACACGCTCTACCATTTCACTTTCTGTCTTAAAGCTTGGAGTCTATGTATTCCAATCCTTTAGTATCTTCTTACATTTGACAGACACAAATTACATGCCAAGTACTCAAGATGTTCAGAAGACTCTGAGTTTTATCAACGTTTTCCCCTAGGAGGGCGCACGATTTCATTCAACGGTCTCTTTGGCGTGTTTCCGATCCATATCCATTTTCTTTTACATATTTGTTAGGCAGTAAATTTTGGTTTGGTTCGCTTTGCAGATTTTCTTGTTGCTAATTCTTTCTGGTCATTTAAACTTCAGTTTTGAGCAAAGGCAGTTGTTGATAAAAGTCTGAAGCTTTTGCTGTAAATGCTTTTCTTGACTGACATACCAAGTTTCTGACTGACTTAATATTTGTGTTGAAAATCCGAATTTTGTTCTTTGTGTTGATTGTTGCAGTTTTCCAAACTGAGTTCAGAGCGATGAAGTTTTGTCTTACCCTTCCAATTCTGATGTTAACGTCCTCATCCGTGCCGCCTGCAGTTGGTAACCTCCTTCAAATTTCTCCCATTGATAATGACGGGTGTTAAACAACCTGTAAGACGCTTTATTTAGTGAAATACGTGATTGAGTCCCAGCCAATAGCCACTGCCTTGACGTGGTGGTCGCACTAGCATTTCGCAATGACCCCAAGGAACAGCTACCTTTAGCTGAAACTAATGTTTTTGCAGGTCCCACCTTGCCAGAAAGAGGTTGTTTAGATAGAGGCTAGACTGAAAGTGGTAACCGGCGTAGTGTTAATTGTTTACATTGTGTTTGGAGTGTGTAGGTGTACTAGGGAATAGACATGTAACAGCAGTAAGGTATTTCTCTGCGATGACCAGCATGCCAACTATGCTGTCTCTCCACTCTGGAGATGGCAAAGGGTTAGAAAAGGTCTGTACGAAAATTCTACATGCCAGTTTTTCCCTGCTGAGGTCCGTAGCCGGAGGTAAGATCCTAATACGCATGCAGCTCCGAAAACCATTTTAGAAAGGTCGTGTGTGGCTGACGACAAACAGTTGTCACTTGAGCTGTGTGGTCACGCAATATGCCAATAATACGTATGTTTCAGGTGTCCTAGTCAGTCAGATGAGATTCAGTTGTTCATGAATTGTCTTTTTTCTGATTGCACCATAACTAAGTTACTTGAGTCGTGTAACGTTTTGTTGTAAAATTAACTTTAATCTCATTACGTAATGTATTTACCCCCTACTTTCTTTCTCGAAGATACGCAAAGATCGTTCTGGACGTTTACGTCGAATTAAACGGGATTTAGTGACTTGTGAGAAGAAAGGTGTTGCTGGAATAAAGCTTTCTTCAATTCAAGCATCTGGCAGTGATACAATTTCTAAAACACCTAGATGTGATGAAGCTAGTGTTTCCAACTCAAATACACTTCCTACTACTACTACCAGCTCGTGTAATCCTCCTTCAAATTCTTCAGCTTCCACTTCAAATCCTGGATCTTCAACACATGATACCAATTCAGCAGTTGGCCGAGTTCTACGTTCAAGTCGGTCACGTACTCCGCATTCTCTTGGTAATACAAGCACTGGGTTAGCGTATACAGCTGACGCCGTCCATAGATCTATTTCATCTGGACCACGTAATCAGAGTGATACAAGCTCCACCACCACGTCCCCCTCCTCCTCCGCAGTAGAATCACATAATCAACACACATGATGAAAGCATTCACATTCACATCCTTTGCTTATATACAATTAATTATTTGCCTCCAGAAACGAAAATTCACAATCAAGTCAATTTGTTTTCATAACTGTGATCACTTTAAGACTCATTTGGAGGACTCTTATCTCTGGAGAAAATTTTCAAATGTTGTATCATATACACAAAGCTTAGAAGAAAACAAACTGTTTTAGATAGTACAGAAATTTTTAACATATATATACTTTTATCTTATATAATGCCCTAAGTGTATTTTCAATAAAAATTAATTCCTTGATGATGTTTGATGTTGTGTGCGTTATACCTGTGATAAATAATGTTACTGTAGGATTAAATTTGCTTGCAGATGCTTTTGGTCCTCACTATCAGAACTGATGATACAGAGTCTTTAAACTGCAGACATTGCTCTAGAAAATTGTCTCCTGAACATAATATGCGCAGGGTGGAATGAATGTATATTCACATACGTGATTCCTTCTTAAGATTATTAGTTGGGTTTTCAGCGTTATTGTCTGAAAGTTGGGCAGAAAATACTCGGTATCTAGAGTCAGGATTAGAATTTTTCTTTATTTTTCTTCAACGTCAGGACCCTCTGCCAAATCGAACAACAGGCATCACTAGCAAGAACTCTGGAATCTAGAGCCATGGATGTATGTTGTGTTTCGGAGACACGCATACAAGACCCGAGTGTGCTCATTCACTCAACCTCACTGGGCCAACAAGGTGAATCTGCAAAATTCACTTTAAGGGTGTCAGGAGACCCATCAGCTAGTTTTCCAGGACTCGCAGGTGTAGGGATAGCTTTGAGTGCTAGGGCAGCAAAATCACTTCTTGACTGGATCCCAGTAAATAGTCGTATGTGTGCGGTCCGTTAGAAGGAAGGACGGCGTTACCCGTCGTCTTTTCGTAGTCTCCGCGTACGTAGTTCGGATGAACTAAAGGATGATTTCTACCTGAAACTGTCTAATTTGCAGCAAAAAACAAAACGTTCATATATAGTTGTTTTAGGAGGCGACTTCAATGCACAAGTAGGGAAGTTGTGGCAGACTGAGAAGTACTAGGTGTTCAGTAGTCTTACCAGACTTCAAATCCGAAATACAATTCATTCGCTGAAGCGTTAGCTCGCACGCTTGCATCTCGTAAGACAACTTCTTCACAGTAGAGGCGCGTCGTTACCCCTTCCATTTGGAAAATCCAGAAGCTTGTCTATGAAGGCCAGGGCCAAGACAAGCTTTTGCCCCAGTGCTTCCTGTGACAATTCTAAGGCTTTACAGTATCCTTCTTCCGGCTGTAACGGAACACAGTGCTTGATAACATCTTCTGTCTCCCCATCACAGTACTGAATCAAGTAATTTATTTATTTTAGCCCGATAGCATCACTGTCCAATCAGTCTTCAAAATTCTTTATAAAATTCCAATAATTTATAGGATTGCCATAAAACTTAATTGTCTCTCTTAGGCATCTCCAGAAACTTACACATGGTTCTGTTAAATTCATCGTTAGGGAAACGTACCAGCTTCATGAGAGGCAGAAGGTGTAACAAGCGACTTCTTATGTTCAAAACATTCACGGCTTGCCTGCCTTAATCTTTCTAACTCAATTTCCTTTTCGATTTGGACAATGCGCATTTTCCCTAGTTCTAGCTCCATCACACAATTTGACTAATACTCATTAATTCTAGTCAGATTAGTTTCATCACTCCTTTCTGATTGTGGAGATAACCTCGGTATAGGATCGTACTTTTCATCTGATGACATACTGTTCGAAACTTTGTAGGATTAAATTAGTTTGCCTACAAATTATTTGGTCTTCATTATCATTACTGAAAATACAGCATCTAGGCCTTACTATATTTTAAACTCAGGTGACCAGAGGAAATACTACACTTACACAAATGCAACTGTCCTTCACGGAAAGACAAAGACTTACCGAACAGTATTGATGTATAAACCAAAATTGTTAGTGAATTACATTTACACACGTATAAGAAGATAAATACAACACTCATCCAAGGTCAACCACCTGTGGTGGGAGTTTACATTAAAATAACCGACAATCACAAGAGACAAGGTTAGGGGTAATGTTGATTGGTGGACTGTCATAAAGTCTGTCTTTCATGATTAACAGTTATATGTGCACTTTTTTCCTTTGCTCTCCGAGTGGAACATAGAGGTTTGGGTTTTAGCTTTGAAGTTTCAGCAGCCGCGGTGTTTTATTTTTTTACGGGATGGGGTCGCTAGCCTCATTCCCAACCTTTCATTTTCTACTTGACCTACTACTGAGGTGAGAGATGGCTGCTAGCCAAATTGGTAGACAGTAATTGACGTCAATGTTTATGTCTCAAATATTAGTCATATGAAAAGAAGATCAAAAACGGACAGCAGACTTTGCGTAGGCGGATACAATTAGCAGATAGATGATCTGACAATCAAGAGACAGCAACAAAGAGATGGTAAGATTAACTTTTAGTGAGAAACAACCAATCAGAAAACTGTGTTTGTCAGCTAAAATTAATCTATAATAATGTACACAAAAATCTATAAATATGTGTTGATTTCACTAATAAACAATCTGTTACCCGACTCTTGCCTTCTGTCATTACACTACTACCACCTAAGCGAGATTTAGGTGTTCTTCGACCGGAGATTGAATCCTGCACCGCGTGTGGCATTATTAGCGAGCATTCTACCACTAATCCACCGATGTGTCATGTGTATTAGACAAACTAAAAACTCCTGAAGTCTGTAGACAATGAGTAAGTACTGTAGAGTTCAGTTGGAAACACCGCGTTCATCTTCATTCACCTAAGTACTATCCAAACTTCCACATTACTTACTGCAGAAGGCATTGTTGAATTAAGGTCATTTTTGGCATGTGTTGTTGCATATCCCACCTGATATACTAATTTATGCTTAGTTGAAAATTTTGTGAAAAAACGATTGAATTTTCTGGATTGATTCGGACATCAATCAGAGAATTATTGATTTGTTTCTTTGTACCTTATTTTCTGAGATATTTCTGTGTCATACAACCAGTCATATTTACTTGTCTATTTATAGGTTGAATTCCTGAGGCTTTGTAAATATGATATAGCATGTATTTTGTCTAATTAAGTTTGTTCATTTTGTCAATCACCATTTTTCTCAAGTCTGACTTTCGTGTCTTTCCCAGTGTGTGTGTGTGTGTGTGGGGGGGGATATTTTCAAGTGATCAGTTGGTTATGTAGCGTCGCGTTCTAGAGGTGGATTCAAGTGAGTCAAGTAAGACGACCCCCACAGTTTAGTAACAATCCCATTATGGGTAAAATTTGTTTTGATAAAGTCTCACAGTGTTATACAGTAATGTTTACTGATGACCACGTTTCGAGCACAGTTTATTGCCACTCATAATCATATCAAGGCACTACTCACACAACTTTCTAACTTCGTTTATATCATTCCATCATTTCCCATCGCTTGATTTGATTGGTAGTAGTATTTTCCATATTTCCGGTATGAGTGATGAGTCATTCCTATTGCATGTGTTATGTGTAGATTCGATGAACAAAGATTCAGTAATCAACCTCTCTCTCCACCTACCTAGATTACTTTTTAGAATTTTAACCCTCTCCCACCCTATTGTGTGTTAATGCATGCATTGCAATTGCCGAGGTTTTTTCTAAATTACTTATCTTCTCTGGGTCAACCATTCTTACCTTAGTTAAATTCTTATGTTCTGACAATCTGACTACCCCTGACCTGCTGGTTTGACCTATGTAGTTGACCTCACAGTCATTGCAGGGTATTTTGTAAATTATATTATTTTGTCTAATTGGGTCAACCGACAGGGTCCTTTAACCTACAGAGCTTGTCCCACCTGAGTGAGTTTGTAGGTTTGAATGCCACCAGCCTAATTCCTGCTTTGTTAAGAATCCTACGTAAGGTCTCAGATGTCCCCTCCTTATATGGTATAACAGTAGAAAACTTTTATTCTCTCTTGTTTATGTTATCATTACTAGTTTCACAATTATTTTTATTTTGCTTTTGACTTTTTTTGATCATCCTAATGAATTTTATAGGGTAGTTATTTAATACGCCTACTTAGGACAAAGAAGAACTTAAACTTTTGACGCATACCAACGATATACTTAGGAATTAACAAAACACTTAGCTCTAATGTTATGTTCCATTAGAAATCGTTCAAACGCTAGACTAACTAATTCATATTAGATGAAAAAGAAACTAAATGACATTTAACAGCATTCAATCTGTCTTATTAGTAGCGTGATGCAGATTGATAGTAAGCGGCCGAAACTCGAATCAGCATTTAAGTCAATAATTTCAGGGTGATAGAAGCGTTCATTCCTCAAATCTGGATTAAGTTTACATTGTTGACATTAAAATAACCTTCATTTGGACAAATTGTTTAACCTTTTACCAGTAGCCAACCAATGAGCGCTATTTATTCTCCTCTGACCTAGCCGAACTTTAATGTGGCTAAGAATGTATCAGTATGTTTTTTCTCCCTAATAAAAGTTCGTTATAAAGTCTTTTATCTTCTCCTGCTACAGTATTGTAGCATTCAGCACAGATGACTGTCACTACGAGCACGAACTTTTATTTTTATCCATCTAGCTTCTGCGAGTTTATATTTGTTTTGTGATCTAAGATCTGAGCCTAACTGTAGCACTATCTGTCCTATGATTTCTTTACCCTGAATAAAAGTTGTGATGGTGTTGACGTGCTAAAAAAGAAATATAGTCTTCTGAACTGTTATGAGCGCTACTCTGTATACTTGGCACACATACAACCAGTCCACAATGACTCATAACTTAAAGTTAGGAAATGAGAACATTTTACTAATTTTAGAAGTTACTCCAGCCTTAGTTCGGATCGGATAGATCTCAGAGAAGAATTGTTTGTTATTTGTGAAGTTGCATCATCTTTGACTCAGGTGAAATATCTTACTGTTGTGACAGTGCATGCGTTTTGTGCGACACTTAATATCCTTAACACATGGTCTCAGCATACTCTCTTTCATTCACTTGTACCAACATGATAAATGGTGAATAGCTTAGTCGTGAATTGTCAGGTTATGAAAGTTGAGGTGACCAATAAGTTTGTTTGTGAGCCTACACCGATATAGGTGACTGCGACACATTACGCCTGTCCAGTAATTGTTTCTCTGAATAAACAATCTTAGATAAATCAACTGTTTGTCTCTCACCTTGCTTGCTTGGGCTCCTTGACTTACTAAGAATTAATTGTTGTAGACTTGATGATACGGCCTAAAATCGTTTATAATGGCAAAGGTGTATATTATTTCACATAACTCCAATGCAAGGTTGGTTATTGAAGATGATGGAAGCACTTTGGATTAATCATATACAGCCTAAACTGTGTGTACCAAAATCAATAGACTTCAATCTTCGCCTACCCTGGACTACTTGACCTATCTAAATATCATTGGTCATTAGTATGTACTTTTGTGTTTTTTATTTAACTGAGTAATTGTCATGATCTTTACTTTATTTTATTATTGTTAACCATGTTAGTTGTAAAGCGGTTGTAAAGAAACTATGAAATGACGATGTCATCTCGCGAAATTTGTCTTCTTAATGCCTTATTCAAAGGTGTATTCAGTCTTTATCATGTCCCCACTAGATTCTGAAAATATCCATTAATCCGGTTACAGGGCGAGCTCTTAGATCATTCAATCGCTGGGATCCGTTTCAATGACCAGTCCATGCATTCTAACTTCTGACAGTTTGTGATATATGTGTAGCTCAACAGCCAGCCAGTGTCACAGGCGAGAAACTGGTCATTTACCTAACTTGGTGGACTCCTCTGGTTACAACTTCTAACTAGAACTCCAGATAACTCCCTGTATAGAGCTAATCGCTGGTGAACATCTGACTAATTATCAAGTATTGGTGCCTTTTTGCAGGAATTTGATTGGTCTACGTTGACATATCAATCAATACAAACTGAGTACTTCTGTCAGATGGTGAGAAACGATTAACAACAAGGGATTTCGACAAGCTCCAAATCAACCGAGAACCTATCGCTGAATAAATATGCAGATTAATGGAACACACGGTCAGGAGTTCGCTGACTGACATTATACTTGTGGTAGATTCTTGAGTGCGGCCCGAATGGGAAGTAACGAGTTGAACCTGGATCAGAGGTTGACATGGAAGCTTATGAACGGTTGTCGAGCCAGCTTAAGAGGACTGTAGACAACAGGGCGAAATGGAAGTGTGCGTCGGTGGCACAGCGGTTAAGACGCCCGCCGCCGATGCACATGGTCTGGGGTTCGATCCCCGGCTGACGCATTCCTTTACCTCGCTTAGCCAGAAATAATGCTGGCAAAGAGGAATGGTTGGGCATAAGGCTAGCAACCCCATCCTGTAAAATAAACACTGCTACCGAAACTTCAAGTCACTAGCTTGAAGCCCTATGTTCCACCGTGGAACGTGAAGGGAAAAAACGCTTTATCTTAGGTGGAAAATAGGGAATTAAGAGATTTTTAGGTGTATATATTTATTTACTTATTTACAATGTGAATTGATAACATCTTCCTCCATGGAAACGAATAACCAATTTGCTGCTGTTGATTCAAATAGATATTTGTCGGTTTCTAGTCATAGAAACTGTCACTTTCGTCAGCCAATTCTTCTGTTTTATATGTTGTCCATGAGGAAAGCAGATTTGTATTGTTCATATCTGTAATTTATTGCACGCAGAAAAGACAAGAAAGAAATTATTGATTATCTGCATATTTATATGCCCCACTGAAAGGAAACTTAACTACAGGAAACAGTTTACTAGCCATCACAGGCCAGTGTGTGACAAAATATTGGCTGGACCTGTTTCTTTTGCGCGCACACAGCTCTCCAGTTGTTTTAAGCAAATTGAGATTGGCCTCTGTTGTTTGGTCTGTTTGAACAAGGCGATCTAATATAGAAATATAGTTGATGGTTTTAAGTACACATTTATTTAGCCACAACACTGTTAATCGTCGCTGAGCTTGAAAAATTAAGCTTCTAAAGCAACAGCTAATATAGCTGGTTCCAGAGGAACTGTTTTTATTCATCAGCAGTCTCTCTGTCTGTCTATCAAGGAATGAAAAACAAAGAGTAATGAAATTCACTACCCTAAATTGTCAGACAGAAAGTTGCCTAGAGTTCTAGTGAGAAGTCGTAACCAATGAGGTCCATGAAGTCAAGTAAGAGAACAGTTACTCACCAAAGACATCGTCTGGCAGTTGCTCTGTATGTACCACGAACTGGTTGGCTAGTCACTGGACCGAGTCTCAATGGTTGAATAAACTACGAGCTAGCCTTGTAAGTAGAGTGTCCTGGATTCGAACCCTGGAGGTGGATGGGTACTGCTGAAAAGACTCAAACTGGGATGAAACATATTTATTCTAATTCTTTCCTGAATATTGGCATTTAGCGGCACATCTGCACTCTACGTTGTTTTGTTATCATTTTCTCCTAGTACTATGACTTCCGACAGGCTTTCATTTCATCTTCACCTATTCTTCTCCATTTCACCCTTGGAAACCCAGTTCGTCGGTGACAATTCTAGGGCCTGGTGTGTGACGTCTCTTGAAGGTTCGTAGTTTATATCTAGTTATATTTCGTATCTGGTCTCATCTTATTTACTCACTCATTCAACCTATGTTTCTCTCTAGTCAGCACCCATCATCAGGCCTTATCCCCTGCTTAAAAGAATCTCATGCTTCTTTTGATACTGAGACGCATGACATTAGTCAAATTAGAGTATCCATTACAGTCCAACAGGCGGTAGATTGCTTAGGCTGAATAACTCTCAGTGGTAACCTTCCTGACTGTAGGACTAAGTGATCCCCGGGTTCAAATCTCATAAGAGATATGAATTCCTTCAAGAGATTGCAGATACGCCTTGTTGACTGATGAGTGCTAACAAGAGCGAAACCCAGGCTGTAGGCTTCCTTCCGACTACCGCTAACCATCGAATAACAACAATTCAGAGTGTACCGTGATAGCCAACCACCTAGAATTCAGTCTGCACCAACTAGACTCATGACACTAGTGTCAAATCAAATCAATTTGTGCATCCGAAACCACAGAGATGTGACTCATCTGGCTTGATTAGCTGATTTACAGCTAACTGTTGTATCCCGTTACACCTATTTTAGCTTTTCCAACCGATTGGCATCATCGGCTATCATGTACATGAATTCAAACAATCAAAACACAATCAAAATTGCAAAACAAAGATGCTTTTGAAATTCATGTTAACTAACAAGCTGAATTACTCGAAAAATATTTACGAATAATAGTTTGTTTGTTGTTGTGTGTGTTTTTTCAAGTAAATATGTATCTATTTTTTTTTTAAATTACATCTCAACATTGAACAATTGAAAAGGAGTATTTAAACAAAGTACAATGTCAATAATACTTAGAAATAATTCAGAAAGAAAAAAAATAATTAACAAATCATCATACAAATTAAACCTACCAAGTAGTTTATTCGATTTTTCCGTATCTTCGTGATTTTTTAACAAAGCTGAATCGAATTCAGATTCATGATCATTAGATTCATTGACATAATTGCATGTAGATTCTTCTATGCTAAAAGTTGCTTTCGCTAGAAATTCTTCATAAGACTGACCTAAAAAATGTGAGAAACCAAAATAATAATAATAATAGTTAGACAAGTTTTAAGTGTTAATTCACAGGAATGGTCAAGAATGGACAGTCGTCTCGTCCTAGTACGCGACTCTTCATCAGTACGCAACCGACGAGGTTCGAACTCAGGACCTCATAGCGAGATCGTAGACCATTTAGCTCTACTGGGACCTGAGTCAATGTCCCAGTTGAGCTATAGTATCAAGAAATTGGCAGAAACTGGAATTCATAGCATATTGGATCAGGAGGGCCTGGGTTCGAACTCTGCTGGTGAATGTGCCCTCCTTAAAAGTCCAGAACTAGGACGAAATAGATGCACAGTAGTCCCTGGTTTTCCAGTGGTTCTCTAAATGATGTCAGCTCATAATCAAACCTGTATTTAGAGAAGTTGATGATAACACACTATCAAGGGAGACGAAGGAAGCATTAGGAATATAAGACACTATGTGTATGTGTGTGGGTGGTTAATGGCAGGTTGTTTCAAGTTAACCCAGCACCAAATCAATAAATTAGATGGTTGCACATGTGTTGTAAATAACAACTTTACACTTAGACACTTCTACGCTGTACATAATTGATTTGGTGATTCCAAACATACGGCTTAAGGCTTGAGCTTTCAAGTTTCAGTAGAAGTGGTGTTGTTTCGTCTTTACACGGGGTAAGGTTGCTAGCCTTATGTTCAGCCTGCCTTCCTTTCCATGCTTATTGAAGTCTAGGTGAGGTTTAGGAGGGTGTTGAGCGGCAGTTGAACCCTGGACTACATGCAGCGTGGTTGGCCACTCACTGATGCACATCAAGAGTCTTATAGTAGAAGATGGTTGGGAAGTACACTCATCACAACAGTTCAATCAATGAAAGTTGATCAGCATTGTCATCAATTGAACTTCTTTAGATTTTTCACAACCGTTAAAAATTTGTGGTTCACTTATAATACTCAAAACGAATTGGTATATATAACTATAGTTATAAATAGACATGTTATATCTGAGTTGCTAATTTTTATAGCGGTAATGAACTCAACTGATAGTCTAATACGCCTATTCGTCCGTTGTACCTTCCGATGCACTGAGTCACGCAAATATCGAAAGATAAAGGCTGGCCTGTGAATGTGAGATACTATATATTTATCAGCAAACAAGACAAATTTATACATTTTCTTCACCACAATACAGTCGGCTTACAGCCGTAGGTATGAATTGTTCTTATTGGCTGGCAAAAACTATTCTTCAAGAATTGAAAACATTTATTTCTAGATAAGAATTTAAAACAAGCAACAAAAGTTAATAAAGCAGGATTTAATGAATTCATCAAATTTCGGTAGAACTCGTCAGCTGAATACCCTACATACATGGATATATATCTACTTTTGAAATTACATTGGGAGATATAAGACTGATAAGTAAATAAACTGCAGTGCAAAGTGCCAAAAACCTCAAAAACAAAACATCTTGTGGACTATGGACATGATATTGACGCTGTCAAGTCATTCACTGTTGTCAGCAGACAAAGAAACAGGAAGATGCTTACAATTGCAGAGGCTTGTGCAATTCGAGTTTATAAACCAGGTCTTTGTGAACAAAAGGAGATGGTCGTCACTCTGAATCTACCATGGTAATACGTTTTACTTATTATTATCATTATTCTTGATTCATTTAAAACTATCCTTTATCAGTAGCATTAGCTTAACTCACTTCAACATTATTATTGTTATTATAACTATTACTGTTGATATTACTCTGTTTGCAATTCTTGATATATTCTCTAATGACTAATTGTTTATCTAAGTGATGTAACTGAAGCGTAATGCATTTTACCTTAATTTTAATTTCACATACTCCCTCTCCCCTTATCTATTTGAACATGACCTGGAAGACATTCGCACCTCCCTGTCTGCATGACTAATTCAATGTAGTTTGTTTACTTATCAGTCTTATATCTCCCAATGTAATTGCAAAAGTATATATATCCGTGTATGTAGAGTATTCAGCTGACGGGTTCTACCTAAATTTGGTGAATTCATTAAATCCTGCTTCATCAACCTTTATTGCTTGTTTTAAATAACTATTCTGATTGGTTAACGATCCGACAAAGACCAAGGTGAGACAAAAGATGATGAATCGATCACACAATAAATCACAATATGCGTGAGAAATGATGGATTAACATAGTAACTCCATTACAAGATTTGTGAGAAAGGATGATACACTATTTTATGCTGGTTCCTATCATGACAGAAGTTTGATCTGTCTTATAATCAAACATTTGAATGAAACTCAAACCACATTTCTTCATTTCATGCACGAATACCGTTGGATCGGAATCCGACATCCCCCTCAGTAAAGTAAGCCTCAGTGAAATTGTTCAAATACTTTCAAAGAATTCCATATTAGTTTGTTTATTAGATATATATCAAACAGTGAAACAGTATTATTTACTGGATGACAAGGTTTCGAACAAAATTTATTGTTCATAATCATATCAATTGTGTTCAAAGAAAGCTGCATATCTCAATTTATATAAAAGAAAAGAAGGTGTTCAGCGAAGAGACTCTTTTCGGCGAATTCCACTTAAAGGAGATGACCTACAAGAAGTAGTCAAACAAAGACTTGATAAACTATCAGGAGAACTTCTTATTATACTGCAAAGCTTGTATTCCTTAACACCATCAAGCGGGCGCTCCTATCCTTCAAACTACATCTATCATTTTGATAGAGTGCGTGTGGAAGCAAATACATAAATTGTACAGAAGGGCGACTGTCTATTTACATGATGGAGCACTAGCCAAAGTGGTTGAAGTCAAAGTACCAAAAAGTTAAATAACAAAGTACATGTTGTGGGTTACGAACATGATATTGACACTGCCGAGTCATTCATTGCTGTAAGCAGACAAACGAACGGGAAGATGCTTGCAATTGAGGAGGCCTGTGCAATTAGAGTTTATAAATCCGGTCTCTGTGTACAGAAGCGAATGGTGGTCATATTTGATCTACCATGGTAATATGGTTGACTTTTTTACCACTATTATTATTATGTTTTATTCTATCTCTCAATATTATTCTTGAGTCATTTAAAACTATCCTTTTCCAATATCACTATCTTAACGACTATTGTCAATATAACTCACTTTGCAATTCTTCATATTTTCGAATTTTTCCCGAATTATTTATTTAGGTGATGTGACCAAACCGTAATGCACTTTATCTTAATTTTAATCTCTCATACTCCCTTCCCCCTCATCTATCGAAATGCGACCTGAAAAATATTCGCGCCTGTCGTTTAGCATAATTGATTCAATGTAGTTTGAATAAGGCATTAAGAAGACAAATTTCGCGAGATGATATCATTTTGTAGTTTCTTTACAACCGCTTTACAACTAACATGGTTAACAATAATAAAATAAAATAAAGATCATGACAATTACTCAGTTAAATAAAAAACACAAAAGTACATACTAATGACCAATCATATTTAGATAGGTTATGTAGTCCAGGGAAGGCGAAGATTGAAGTCTATTGATTTTTTTTACACACAGTTTAGGCTGTATGTGATTTATCCAAAGTGCTTCCATCACCTTCAATAACCAACCTTGAATTAGAGTTATGTGAAATAATTGTGAAACAGTCATTAATATTGATTTTGTGACCTGACATTAATAAATGTTTTGCAATGGATGATGCTGGATTTCTATTCAGATTAATCGCGTTGGGATTTTCTATATGATTTAGTAACCATTTTGGAACATGTTCTTTCCGACGACATTGGAACATTCTGTTGGTTCTACCTATATACGTGTCACCGCAGCAACTGCAGGTGAACGTGTAGATACAGTTTGAAGTAGAGTTCACAGAATTTTGTCCTTTAATCGTAGGTAGAGGGATCAAAAATGTCCGGCAAGTGAGAAAAAGAGATGCGGCGTAAAGTGTGCGTTTGATGGCTGACCGAAGTCTTTGAGCTGTCAAATGCATAATCTGGTCGCCCTTGAATGGTAGGTTAATAAAGATAGCTTTCTTTGGTACAGTGGCTGTCTTTTCGAGATGTGGTCTTTCTTTACTGTGACAAGTGATAAAGTTTTCCGGATAACCATTAGTTAATAAAACTGAATGTATATGTCAAAACTCATCCATCAATGTGTCACTCGGGCATATTTTTCGGGCCCTTGATAACAAACATTTCACTAGGGAACGTTTATACTGGATAGGAACAAAACTGGTAAAATGGAGATATTGTCCACTCTATGTCTCTTTACGAAAAATAGATCGCTGAATCGTACCATCATCTCTCCTAGTCACAGTAATATCCAGGAAACCGAGTTTGTTATTCGATTCTAGTTCGGAAGTCACTCGAATATTTGCAACCGGTTGTAAAGAAACTACGAAATGATATCACCTCGCGAAATTTGTCTTCTTAATGCCTTATTCAAATTTATCAAAGAGACTAATTTTTTTCATTTTCTCAATGTAGCTTATTTGCTCATCAGTCTTGGATCTTCCAATGTAATTCTAATGATATATATTATCCCTGTATGTTAAGTATTCAGCAGATGAAGAGTCCTATGGAAATTTGAAGAATTCATTCAATCCTGTTTTGCTAACAGTATTTGTTGCTTGTTTTAAAAACTACAAGTTGTTTTTTATGTTATGTGACTTCCAGTTTTTTCTTCGGTAACTCTAAACATTCGCAACCCAGGCGAATGACCCAAGTAAATGGATGTAATGACCTCGATTAACCAGTCAGATAAGCCCGTAGTCAACATGCGTAATTTAAAAAAAAACTGTTTCAGTCTAAAAAATAGTTTTAAGGGGTAACATTCTCGTATACGTTCCAAGGAAACCTTCAAATTCCTTATTGGATTCTTTAGTGATGGGTAAAACTAATTTCTGTGCAATAATTCACCCAGATATCTGTTTATCATGCTGTTTCGTGACTCATTCACTACTCTACAGCACCCATGAACCTATACAAACGAACGACATATCTTCTATG